ATTAAAAAGATTAACTTGCCCAAGGTCACACAGCTAGCAAGTTGCAGAGCCAGGTTTGGATGCCAGCTTCGGCTATACCCTGCTGCCTCCTTCTATAAATATCTACGAAGTGCTTAGTTCTTTGCAAGTTGTATTTGCAACCTATTAAGGACTCAAGCTACATTAGGGCTTCTGGGGAACCCCTCGTCAGCTACTCCATGGGCCTGGCTCCAAGAAAGCCAACACTCCAGAGCCTGTTAATTACTCGAGGGCTTTTGGGAAAGGTGGTCAGCCTTGGGTAAGGAATGAAGCACGGTTGTGGTGCCTTTGAAAGGCCCGACAGGAAATATCTTGCTTCAGTCTCAACTGCTGAGGGACATATTCAAGTGGATGACACTCAGCAGGTTTGAATAACACATTCCTCAAGTGCTCTGAGTTTCTGACCAACAATAAAAAAAACCTCCGTAGTTAGACTTCTGTTTCTGGATTCTCACTGCCAGGGACACTGGAATTAGATAGTTTTTAGTGTAGATTTCATATGTACAAAACCCTTCACAGAGACTTAATCTGGAAACTTCATAAAGGACTGGATAGCATTCTTCATGGAAGTCCTGCTAGTAGACTGCTGTCCCTTTGAAGGATGGATAATCCCTCTCCTTATCCCCTAGTTAAAATACTCTCTTTCCTCCATTATTTTGCCTCTATTGTAAACTCTCCCCTCGTCAAGACCTGGAAAATTTGCCTTCTTTCTCTTATTTCCTTTCCCTCATTTCACTCATCAGTGTGAGATCTATGCCTCACACTTTGGAAGGCTCACCAACTTTAAATTCTTAATAGAACAAGGGAAGGCACATTTCAATTTTTTTCTGGGTCACACAAAATCATATAGCCATGCCTGCTCCCTGCTATGCACATTGAGATAGGGAGAAGACTCATTACACACAAGATATAATTGGTCTCCTCCTTCTGCACTCAGCAAGCATTTTCTCATTGAGGCGATTCATATAGTTGGATGAGCCCATGAGAAATCCACTCTCTTTAGCCTCAGTTTCTTCCTCTCTAAAAAAGGGACAATAACACTTACCTGCAAGTTATGAGTACTGAGAGGGATTGTGTATAAAGTACCTACTAGAGCTGGGTGTGGTGGTGCACACCTGTAATCCCGGTAATTCAGGAGTGCAAAGCTGGCCTTAGCAACTTAGTGAGGCCCTAAGCAACTTAGGGAGACCCTGTTTCAAAATAAAAAATAAAAAGTGTTGGAGATTTAGCTCTGTAGTTAAGTATTCTTGAATTGGAACTCAAGTTCCCCCAAAAAAAGTACCTATCAGAGCATCTGGTAATAGTAGGTATTTGCTAAAGGAAATCTGGGGGTCACAGCAGGTACAGCAAAAGGTCTTCAACTAAGATAAGTCAGAAATCAAATTAATCTCACAGCTTAAAAAAAAAAACAAAAACCTGTGATCTCAGCTAGGTAACTTAGTTTTTCCCAGCCTCAGTTTCTGTATCTGTAACATGAAAATGATAATATTTACCTTATATAATTGTTTTGAGATTTAAATAGTTTAATATATTTTTTTAAAAAACTAATATACCACCTGGCATCTTGTAGGAGTTCAAAAGTGGACAATAATTCTTTGGGTCCCTTGTAACACTGTTTCTACACTCAAAAATGATCCACTTGTGAATGATGCTTGGGATATAACTGTTAAAATGTGCTATATACTCTATGACTTCCTGTATACTCTTCCTGTAACATTTTTGTATGTTAAAATAGTTTTATAAAAATATTTGAGGAATGTTTTTTCTTCTTTGCTAGACTATGAACCTAGTAATTCAAAGACTAGGTAGTAGAAGGGATCAAAAATAGCACCATCACACATGGCCCGTATTGCTACCTCCTTAAGTCTGGTTCTTGCTCCATTAACAAAGCTATTTCATTAGGGAAACAATTTCATGCAATCCACCACCTTTCTTGGCAGCAACCTATACAAAGAGACCACTGGGGGAAAAATTTCCTGAAACCCTAACAGCTGAGTCATATTTGACGCCCCTTAAGAATCAAAGAAGCCTTAGAACTGTGATTTTTCACCATTTGGAGGTTTTAGGTCCTTTTAAGAAATTCTGTTAGTTATGGAGATTCTCTCCAGAACAATATATCTAAGATCTTAGGTTCAATTTCAAGGTGTTCTGAGAATCCCCAAAGCCCCTGAACCCTGGGTTAAGAATTCTTATTAGAATAGCTCAGGAATATGAACTGGAGATGGGAAAGAGTCAACTTTCCTGATGAGTTCCAGCCCTGACTAGTCACACTCCCTTGCTGAAAACAAAACCAAACAAAATGAAACAAAACAATCATAACTCCCTGTATTTAACCTCAAGGTTATCCCTGAGGGCCCAGTTCCAGGCAGTAATGGTAAAGATTTCTAGCCAAGCTGTGGCTGCTCTTTGGAGAACCCAAGTTCAGCTCAGTAAAATGAAGCCTATTTGATAATATCGTTTACATTTCCAAATCCTGGGTATCAAGCTTTCTTCCTATCCCTTGTGGCCCTTCCTAAGTTTAGCTGCTGGTGTAATGGGGTAACCATGGCAACAACCACCTGCCTATTTAAAACCATCTCCAATGCTAAATAAGGAAGCCTAGAGAAAATGGCTGCTTGCCTGCCTCTCAGTGGACAAACTGAGCACTCCTGGGTATTTTGGACATGGGCAAGCAGGCAGAAAAGAAGCAGTATGGACCCAAAGCTCTTAATAGGAAGAGTTTGGTGACCTTGTGAAATAGAGGCAACATCCTATGTCATCATTTCTTTAAATGCAAATATAGGTGTCTGTCACCCATGGTGACTGTACCACAACACCTTGACTTCAACCAGGTGAAGAGTGAGGCATGAACCTAACCTCTGAGAAGTCTGCGAAGTGGGAAAGAAAATGGTTTATACAGATCACAGTAGCTTTGTTCATACTGTGTTTTGCACAGTACATTTTTTTTTCCTGACAGATGTATCTTTCTAATTGTATTTAATCGTGTGGATGGCTGATGATTGCTCTGTTCATGTCATATGTTGACCTACTGATTTTTTGGAATATGGAGAAATTTCTCTCCCCCTCTTTCCTTGTTCTCTACAAATTACAGAGATTTTGCTTGTTTCCCATGCCAAGACACCATACAACCAGCTGCAGTGAATGACTTCCTTTGCCCCAAGCATGCTGCACCCTCACTCCTTTGTATTTTTTCCTACATTTGGTTCCTTCTCTCAGAGTTACCCTTCTCCTTTTGCCAATCTGGAAAACACTGTTTTCTGTGTCTTGGATGGGGCATTTCTCTCATTAGAAAACCCTCCATGCCAAGTTCCACACTCTTGCTTTGTATTGCCATTGGTCACGTCTATCCACATCACTTAACAGACCATGATGCACATCTGCTTTCCATTCTGTTTCCCCCAAAGGGCTGGGAGTGCCCTGCACCAGTCCATCCAAAACACCTCTAGAATAGTGTCTGGTAGATAGAATGTTTTCAAAAAATACTGTTGGATAAATGAATGAATGAACAGAACGTACAGATTTCACAAGCAGATGGAATGTTCAGACACATGAGTGTGAGCATGTGTCAGGGTACTTGTGTGAATCCTGTGGAATGGGTGGAAGAAGAGTATTTAAAAAAACTGTGTAGATATTCGGGAGCGAAGAAGATTGAGAGGAGAATCAACAGAATTGCAAGTTTGAGACTACAGTGGTAGGGACTGGAAGTACGGACGTTTAGCAGTGTGGAGTGAGTGTGTAGGATCTGTGAGTGTTAGGAGTGAGAAGGAATAGGCTGTGACAGAATACACATCCTAATAAAGTTACTTCAGCTGTGATTAGATCCCACAGATCGCTCTTCCAGAGGAGGAAGTAGCTTCATTATGTTTAGTTTCTGATCCTTAAAAAGGCTTGCTTTTTCTTGGTTAGCCCCTCACACCCCCCCAGGCTGTGGGGTCAGAGCAAAGAGTAATAATAATAATAATGTCCGGCTCTTTCAGGGTGCTGGGCTTTAAATGAATGTCTTCAGACCCTTTTAACCTCTGCTTTGAAGAGAATTCTGTGGGGTAAATAAATGTCAATCCCCTCATGTTCAAAGATCAAGTCCAAAGTAGTATCCACCCTACTCCCCACCTGCCTGAGGTTGGGGTGGGATCCTGTGGTCATCTTGAAATAGTACAATAAAATGGAAAGAGAAAGAATAGAAGTCAGCTAATGAGAAGAAGAAGAGAAAGAAATAAGAAGGGAGAAAGGCAATTTTGACAATCCCAGGGGTAGCTATGTGCCCAGTCAGAACTCAGTTCTGGTAAATTCCCTTGGCATGCAAGAAGGGTTTGGTTTCCTTTGCAAAAGACCTGGTTTTCTCTTCCCTTTCATTTTTGAATCTAACATCTAGACTGCACACAGGGCGCCCAGGCTCAGGTGGGGCCTGGTGGGCTCCAGGTCTATTGCCTTTGCACGTGCCACTCTGCTGCTGCCCTCTGCTGTCGGGGATGGAAGAGGCGACGCCCTCCTGGCACTCTGGGTCCAAACCCCAGGGCTGCCACCACCTCCCATGTAGGACCTAGAGAAGTTGAGTCCCTTCCACCCTTTCCAGAAAAAAAAATGCGGGGCCGCGGCAGGATTTGGGGTGGGGGTGCTGCACCTTTGGAGGAAGCAGCCAAGCCCCCGCAGGGGCTCCAGTTAGCCAAGGACAGACTCCCCCCACTACCCGCAAAGGCGGGCACCCCACACCCCTTCCACCCCCACATCCCTCCCTCTGCACAGATCCTCTGGGAGGGACTGAGGGACAGGCTGCCAGACTGCGGCAGGTTTCTGACATTTTTTTTTTTCTTTTTCTTGGAAATGGAAACCCTCCTTCCGGCAACGTGGCAGGGAAGCGAAGTCCCGGGGCGGCCAGGCCAAGAACATTTCCGTAGGAGCAGGTGGGAGGCCCGGGTCTGGCTGGCTGCACTGGGCAGGGCGGCTGGGCGGGGCAGCGCAGCAGCCGGCTTGCAGCCTCTTACCTGCTGTTGAATTTTTCAGGGTGTTTCTCTCTCATCATGTGGAATCTGTGTGCAATGGAAGCATCCTGAAAGCGAAAGAGAAGAAGGCAGAACCCTGGTTAGTGCTTCTAATGGTGCTGTGTGGCGGAAAGGATTGCACACGTCTTCACCGAATCCCCCAACCCTGAGATTCCATCTCACAGGGGAGGTTCCAGATCCCAGAGGCCCAACACCAAGTCCAAGGGTACAGTTAGTGCCGCCAATACTCTTAGAGGTGCCCTGGTCCACTCCAGGGCCCTTGCAGTGAGCACTCCATCCCTGGCCCAGTGAGAAGCAGATAGTTAAGGGATGAGTGAAGGGGAAAGCCCAATTCTTTGAGGAGAATGAGGGTCTGTGAGCAGGTAGACAGAAGTAGCCCATGTGGGAGGCTGGGAGTGATTCTTTGGGTATGCCTTGCCATATTAAATGGTTTTGTAAAATACTTTTTATTTTGGAATATTTTGACTCACAAGAAGTTGCAAAAATAGTTCAGAGTTCCTATGTCCCTTTCACCCAGCATTCCCCAAGGAAAACATCTTACATAACTACAGTACATTGCGAAAACCAGAAAGCTCATGTTGGTTGGTATTAACTCTTCTTCTTCTTCTTTTTTTTTTTCCTGTACTGGGGATTGAACTTGACCACTAAGCCACATCCCCAGCCCTATTTTGTATTTTATTTAGAGGGTCTCACTGAGTCTCAGGGTCTCACTGAGTTCCTTAGCATCTTTTTTTGCTGAAGCTGGCTTTGAACTCACAATTCTCCTGCCTCAGCTTCCTGAGCTGCTGGGATTACAGGCATGTGCCACTGACTGGCTTATATATTAATTCTTAATCATTCATGTTAGTAGAAATAATAAATGACAATGGATAATCTATCTGATAGATAATTAGAAAACATACTAGCTTTTGCTTCTTGATCATTCCATCCAAAGGACTGCTTCCAGGGTCAAGGAGAATCTTAAAACACATCCTACTGACATTTTCTTATACTCCCTATTGGCATATCCTTTGGTGCACTCTTGGCCACCGGCACCTCAGAACTCCCCACAAGGATGGCTGTCATGACCCCATGCTTCCAGGCTCTCTAACCTCTGATCCAAACTTCTTAGCCCTGAATTTTATGTGCAGCCCACACTCCCATTGTGGGTAGTCCCAAGAGTTGTTTCTCATGGTTGTTTCTAGCATCTAGATGCTGGTAGCTCCACAATGAATAGCTCTAGAACCAGCCCTGAGCTTCAACACCAAAAATGGACTCAACTTTCCTCTTCAAACCTGTTCTTCCACCCTCATTAATTGTCTTGTTTTCTAGCAAAAGAATGTGTACCGCCCCCCCCCCCCCCAACCACCACCACCCAGGCCCCATGCCAGCACACTGGGTGCAGGTGCTGGGCTTCAGAAACAAGCAGGCTAATTGGGCTGGAGATGGGGTGACCCAGAAACAAGGGAGCTGATTCAGATTTGTTCAGGAACAACAATAACAAAAACTTCAGAAACCGATTTGCTGGAATATGTGGCTAAAAAATGCCTGAAATTCTATCCAGCAGATTTTTAGCTAATGCATATTCCATTTCTCTATAAGAAAACTCTACAAAAGATCATTTGTAAATGCTGATTAAAAAACAACAACAACAACAAACAAAAAAAAAATGTCAGGAGGTATAGTTCAGTGAAGAAGCGTTTTTGAGCATGTACTGTGTGTGGTGAGTTGCACTTGGAATCAGAGTGACCCCAGCCAGCAGCCACTGTCTGATAAATGGAGAGAGCACATCAAGAAGATGAGTTTGCTGGGCAGCGGCACATGCCTATAATTCCATCGGCTCTGGAGGCTGAGACAGGAGGGTTGCAAGTTTAAAGCTAGCCTCAGCAACTTAGCGAGGTCCAAAAACAACTCAGTTGAGACCCTGCCTCTAGACAAAAGATATTTTTTTCAGGAAAAAAAAAATAGGGAATAAGGCTCACTGGTTAAACACCACCAGTACAAAAGAAAAAAAAAAGAGCTAATTTTATGTATGGCAAACATTCCTTGCTGAAATAATGTCTTGGGAGTTTAACAATTAAACTTTACATACTGATTTTATTTTTAGCTTAAGACACATCAAGAGTTAAAGTCTGGGTGAGGTCCCTCTGTGCAAGTGGTGGGAAGTGTGCAAACCCCAAGGAGGCCTCCTTCCCACCCCCTGGGCCCACACAGCTTGGCCCGAGTGGCTTCTTTGGGCAACAGCATTTCATGCTCCCAGGCTCCCATCACCTCCCTAGCTCGGAGCAAGTTTCAGTGAACATGCTCAATAAGGTTCATGTGACATTGTCAAGTGCTTCTCTAGATTTCAAGAAAACATTCCATCTACTTGTGTTCCTTTGAAGCATTAATTTTCCTCTGTCAGAAAAATTAAAAAAAAAGAAAAGAAAGAAAAAAGCAATCGTATATTGCTTGGCACAGTTTGTACTTCACTATCTCTCCCTCCAGTACAGCTGCGACTAGCTCCTGGTTCGTACTTCTCTGGGATATTTGCACAGGCCCCTCCCTTTGTATAGTTCTCATTGTCCTTGGTTTTTCCATAACAAGCATTTGCAAAGACTAGCCTTTAAAATATTATTAGTTTAGCATGTAGTTCCTAATTTGCCAGTGTCATTCCTTGACAAATAAAGTAGCCAGGGAGAGCTAAGTGGCTCCTTTGCTCTCAAGTCCTGAAAAGGTGATGGATCATCAGGATCCTGACCATGTTTCTCTATCTGGAGATGAAAAAGAAGAGTCGAGATTCACTTTTGCTCTCTTGAGCATCTCTGAGTCAAGGGCTGATCTTGGCATATTGACAATCAATAATGATTTCATTTGGATTTTGGAAATCAAGGCTACACCAAATCTTTTCTTGGTGATGATTACAGTAAAATGACACTTCCGTGATGACGCCAAGTACTGGGAATTGCAAACTCATGGGAGCCATGATGCAGTTCTGATGGCCTCACTATCCGGAGTCTTTTTGGATGCAGCATGGGGTGAAGAGGAGACCAAGAAAGGTGTGGACGCGGGGCTATTTTTTCCTCAAGTAAAACTCTTAAGCACATGGTTGGACCAACAATTTTGGGCCCCTTTCAATGTAAGCAGCTGTTATTTGGACTTTGAGATATTGGAACATCTAGGCCAGTGCTGTCTAGTAGATATTTAGTGTATGCCATATATGTAACTTAAGATTTTCTTGTAGTTACATAAAAAAGTAAAAAAGAAGCAGATGAAATTAAAATTTTGAAAATATTTTCACATACCAACATAAAGGTAAAATTAATTTTAGTAACATTTTAATTAACCTAATAGTTCTCAAATATTATCATTTCAATGTATAATCAATATTAAAAATTATTATTATTATTTTATTTATTTTTTTAAGGTGCTGGGGATGGAACCCAGGGCCTTATGCATGTGAGGCAAGCACTTTACCAACTGAGCTATATCCCCAGCCCCAGGGATATTTTAAGTTATTTTCTTCATAGCACATTTCTGAAATGTGGTGTGTATTTTACACTTACAGCACATCTCAATTTAGACAAGCCTCATTTCAAGTGCACAATAGTGACATGTGGCTCACAGCTGCCATATTGGACCAAGTCACTCTGGCAATTTAGGGAGATAAGAAGACAGAAAGAGACAACAGGACAGGTTATTTGAAATTCAGATTGTTCTCAAAACTTATGGCAGATTGAGGAATGGAAAAGTGTAGACTCCTTGTCACTCCTCAGTGATTTCCATCGACTTAGTACCTTTCCTGGCAACAGATAAAAACCTGATGCTGAGCCAATGATGGCTCATGCCTGTAATCTCAGTGACTCAGGAGGCTGAGACAGGAGGGTTGCAAGTTAGAGTCCAGCCTTAGCCATTTAGCAAGACTCTAAGCAACTTAGTCAGACCCTGTCTCAAAATAGAAAGTAAAAGGGGCTGGGGATGTGGCTCAGTGGTTAAGGACCCTTGGGCTAACTCCAGTACTAAACAAACAAAAACAAAGAAACAAACAAACAAAAAAAACCATCTGAAGCTGATTGATTCCAAAAGTTTGCAGGCAACTGATGTCTTGTTCACAAATTCCCTAATGGGCAGGAGGCTCGTCATTGTGGAAAACTTGGTTGGTGAACTCTAAAACAATCTGTAAGGTGGAACATGGCACATGGGTTGGTGTGACGACTGTGGTTTTTCCTTGGCCCCTAGGCTCCCCTAGCATCTGAAATAGATTCATTGAATCAAGGGATTAGCTGTTCACCCATACAGTTAAGGCTCAGTGAAAGCAGAGCCTGTGAGGAGTTCAGAGTTACGCATTCTCCAGGAATTATTTTGTAGTTCCAAACTTCCTGTCACTGATACCTGGCTATCCTGACATTTCTGCCTAATCCAAAAATAGATAGGAGGGAGGAGGAAGCCAGAGGAAGTGGTGTCTTGGATATGGCTATGCTAAAAATCTCTTGCCAGTGGATATTCTCAGTAAGAAGGACCAATAAGGCCAATTATCTTAGGTTCTTATAGCTGGCCTGTGAATGGAGATGTGGTGGCAATGAGACCACAGTCATTCCCTGGAGTCTTATTTAATCCTCCATCTATTAAATAGGTCCTGTAAGTACCAAAGGGACTGTGTGAACTCATCAGGGCAAATTCCCATCTACAGCACCCAGGGTACCATAGCAATGGTGACTGTCATCATCTTTATGATGCAAGGCAGCAGCCACTTGGTATCAATAAACTATTCCATGTCCTTCAGAAGAGGCACAGACCTTGCAGAAATCTCTTTGCCAAAGGAGTTCGACTCTATTTAATCATCATCAGGAGGTAAAACTGGGTTGGTTTACATACCTACTTCTCCTCTTACGAAGTTGGGGAAGTCAAATAGGGAGCAAGACCTTCTGCAAATGTCAGCCCCAGACTCTGTCAGGATTGTGTGTTGGTTACTTGTTTTCTCAAGATTTCCTCTTTCCAACTTTTAAAGAGCGAGCACACAAATGATGCAAACGTTTTGTTGAGAGAAGGCTAAGGGTGCACCAAAATGAGATAGGAATTTCTAGTCCCTCACTCCTGTGCAATACATGCACAAACTCAATGTATAAGAAAAAAAAATCATGAGGAAGAAATTGTGTGGGTCTTCGTAATTTGAAAAATGAACACATTGGATTATTATCAGTCATCCCAGGACAGAAAAATATTTTGACCTTTGAGGATGATGGAGAATGTTTCTATGTTTTCTTGGAGGATGATTAGCTGGCTCATACTTCCTTCCATTTATATTTTCAAGAATGAATTGTAATTTGTAATTTCATGAATGATTACTGATCAGGCTTGGCTCTTGGCTTTAGGGTCCAGCTATTTAGTTTAGAGAAGGTTGTCTATTCCTTTTTGTGTATCCATTTATTTGGGGAAAGAATACTAAAAGAAGTCCACTTTATGCAGCCACTAGATCGACAGAGACAGACAAGGAGATGCTGGGAATCATGTTTTTGTCAGCTAGAGCTGAGTGTGTGGGAAGATTTGGGGCTGAAGAATCTGAAGGCAGCCATGACTGTACCTTTCCATCTGGAATCTTCCAGGCAGCCCACCCAGCCTCCCTGCTCATTGCTTATATGGGCTAACTCTTCCTGCTTTCTAGATTCCCTCTCCTTGCTTTAATTCAGTTCTGATTTCTGTGTCCTGAAGAACCACTTCCCTTTGATCATTCTTTTCTGTTCTGATGGGCTGTCTTCCCTCTCTGAAGCCCTGGTCAGGATCATCTGCATCAGAATGATCTTAGAAGCTTATTAAAAATGTGATTTCCCACTAGCACATGCCTTGCAATCCCAGCTAGGAGGATGCAAGTTCAGGGCCAATCCTATGTGAAAATAAAAAGGGCTGGGGATGTAGCTCAGTGGCAGAGCACTCGCCTAAGCATGTGTGAGGCCCTGGGTTCCATTCCCAGCAAAACACGCACGCACGCGCACACACACGCACGCTCGCAAGCAAATTCCCAGACTTCCTGAATCAGAATATGAATCAGAATCTGTTGTGAGCAGAATCTGCATTTCTGATAAGGGGCCCTGTAAGCCATTTTGAGGCACATCCCCCCAAACCACCAAATACACACACGGTGTTGGCAGCAAGAATATGGAAGGGGCTGTGCAGAGGCCACAGCTCAGTGGGCCCCGGAGCTCAATGCTGATGGTTCCAGGCTCCACCACCCAGGGGCTTGGACTCCTTCTATAGCTCTCTAAGCCATCACTCTCTCTTATAAAACACAGTAAAAACTGCATGATGACTTCATGTACCAACATGGAAACTGGACCTGGTGTGCTTAATAGGTACTCAATAAATGTTAACAAGCTACACTCTGGTTTCTGTTGGGAAGACCCAAGGTTTGGCAAAACTAATGATTGGGAGTCCATGTTCCAGGAGCCCTCTGGACACCAGACACCGGTCACATCTGACTGTTGGGAGCTGAAGATGGCAGTGCTCCAGTCGGGGGAAGTGGATCCAGGGTAGTAGGTCTGAAAAGGGGAGGGTTCTTAGAGCAAGAAGAGGAGGGAGGGTGTCTGCACTGGTCACTGGATGGGGGACCAGGAAGGGGACACTAGGGGAAGATGTCCCTCCCACCTGAGGCTGGAGGCCTGGGGGATAAACTAGCTTGGGGCACAGGAACCTCTAAACTTGTTCCTGGTCCATTATCTCCAGCCTCTCAGAACCTGATAATGGGCTCAGCAATGCTTCTGTCTTCTGTTTTGGTCATAGAAAAAGAGCTCTGGATTAAGAATCAAAAATTAAGACGGGTGGAACATATACACAATGGAATATTACTCAGCCATAAAGAAGAATGAAATTATGGCATTTGCCAGTAAATGGATGGAACTGGAGACTATCATGCTAAGGGAAACAAGACAATCCCCCCAACCAAAGGCTGAATGTTTTCTCTGATATAGGGATTCTGACTCACAATGGTGGGAGAAGTATTGGAGGCTCACCAAATTGGACAGGGGGTAATGGGGGAAGGGAGGGGGGATGGGAATGGGAAAGACAGTAGAATGAATCAGACATAACTTTCCTATGTTCATATATGAATACTCGACCAGGGAAACTCCACATCATGTACAATCACAAGAATGGGAAGTTATACTCCATGTATGTGTGATATGTCAAAATACATCCCTATTGTCATGTATAACTAAAAAGAACAAATACAAAAAAAAAAAAAAAGGTCAAGAGCCCTATGTGTAAGCTAGGGAGGAAAAAGGAAAAAGTGTGTGTGGGAATCTCACGAAAATCGAAAGGAGATCAGTAGTGGAAAGGGACCAGGGGGTGGGAGGTGGGAAGTGCTGGGGTGTGATATTGACCAGATCATATTGTTATATTGAATGCAGGTATGAATACGTAACAACAATCCCATCATTATGTACAACTATCATGTATGATTAAAAATGTGAAAAAAGTTAAGGTGAGTCCCTAAATCCAAGTCTCTGTTCCCCTCATTCATAAAATAAAGATGATAATTCCCTTTAAAGTAGTCATAAGAATAAAAAGTAACTGAATATATAGTAAACTTTAAATCCTTCTGTGAGTAGAAGATATTATTATATGTAATCCTTTCCTCTCCCGTGCTTCACCTTTTGTCTTCTTAGTAAAAAATAAAACGTTTCCTTCAACCTGCTGTCCCCTCAAGCTACCCATCAGTTCCTTTGTGTTTCCTCACTATTATATTTTTTAACCACCAAATTTTTCAAAAGAGTTTGTGGAGTGCAGATGCCACTCAGCCTGGGGCAGAGGACTGGGTGAAGGGATTTGTATGCACATAAAACCTGGTAGCATAATTCCAAAGATGGGGAAACAGAGAGGAAGGACCTTGGGCTCAGGGTGAGTACAGCTGTTTGTGTTCTAGTTCTGCCTCTTATGAGTCAAGAATCCTGAAGGCTCTTCCGTAAAATGGGGATGATGGGAACAAGGGTATCTGCAGCACTGCTGTGAGGACTAGACCCCATTAAGCCTAGCAATGTGGAAAGCCTATAGTAGATGCTCAATAAATGTTAGTGTCCTGGCTGTAACTCCTCTCCCAAACCTCGGCTGTATTTGTGAACATGAGCCATCCTTTCACTGTCCCTTCCCCGCCCATCCCGTCCCCGGCAGTGTAGAAAGCAGTGCCCACTCAATGTTCTTTGAAGCTGAATTTAGCAAATAAGGTGACTGAGCTACAACTAGCTGTCCTGAGGGCTTGGGATGCCAGGGAACATGGTGCTGTCCTTGTGCTATGTGTGTGTGTTTGTGTGTTGTGTGTGTGTGTGTGTGTGTGTGTGTGTGTGTTCAGGAGGGCATGTGCTCTTGCATTAGTGAGTCAGGCACATCAAGCTAGGTCTTTCAGTCAATGCAGAGTGTGCTGACAGGGTGAGCATCAAGGACCATGAGAACCAGGGAGTGGTCAGTCAGGAGGAAATGCCTCCCCACAGAGGTTTATGAAGCACTTAGAGCACTGTACTGAGGAGAGGAAGAAATCCTGAGTGCTAAGCCCACCAAGCCAGGTGGGACCCCAGGGTCCTCCCTTGAGGATCAGAATTCCCAATTCCTGAAGCCTATGTGAATGTTTTCTCCTATTCCTGCCCCTTGGATATTTCTCAGTGTTGGTTTTCTTGAACTGCTTCAAATTACCTAAAGGGTAAATATGTCTTTTGAAAAATTTCTAACCTTTCACTGTGTGTTAGTTAACATAATAGAGAAAACAATTTCCCCCATAATCAAGGGATGGAAGGGCTGTGTCACGAGGGTGTCCACATTTATACCAGATTTCAGGATGCTCAGACACAAGTCAGGACTGAGGCAGGGCAGGACAGACCCAGAGGGGATAGTGGAAAACTGGAGCCCTTCTTGGGCATTTTTCTACTATGCAGAAAGGTGACCCCTGAACAACTCACCACGCCAATGGAAAAATAGTTGTTCATGATGCTGTATGGAACCTGGTCCCCGTTCTCCACCTCCTCTCTGGGGATGACTTCCAGATACCAACGGTCCAGCATCACCAAGGGGCTTTGCTCGATGTCCTTCAGGATTTTTGTCAAACTGCCCCCTTCATAACCTGTGGATGATGGCATTGCATTTGCCACCAGAGCAGAAAGGCTAAGTTGTTGCTGATGCACAGGTAGCTGTCAGGACAGGTGACCCTATGGGCATCTGGGACCAGGTAACTTCCCAGTGTGTCTGTGTGGGGGAGACACTTGTGGTCCTTGAACCACAGAGAAGGGAAGGACAATAGAGTAATTAGGAAGAGGCTGGAGTGATTTGAAAGTCCGAGGTGGGGGTGGGTGCTGGCTAAAGGTGGGTGGGTCTGTGGAGCTGAAGGGAGCCCTATTGAATTGGTGGGCTGGATGGTTGGGAAGCTGTGTGGGGGAGATAACGGATCCATGCCAGGACTGTGTCATGTGGGAGATGGACAGGGTGGTAGGCAGAATGTTAACCTGGCCTGTAGGGCGGGCTCCTGCTTCCTCTGACTTGCCCACCAAGAAAGAACCAGTCTCTGAATCCTGATACACCCTGACTGGTCTACAATCACTCCTTGAATTGATAAGCCATCCGGAGTCCCTGCAGCTCTTCTGCCTGCTGGACCGATCTGTCCACTCTGCGGTAAGCTGAACTTCCTCTGCAGCTTGCCCAGTTCCATGGGGGCTGTGGCCATATGTAAAATTCTCCTTAGTGCCTGCTCTTTGCACTGTAAACCGATTACCACTGTGTGACCCCCTTTAGGGAAATTTCAAAATGAGATCCCACAGTCCTGGGCACCTGGGATAATCTGAATGTTCCTAATGACTCTAACTAGGGATGAAGTATTTTTGTCTGCATTTTGAGTCCTAATTCAGAAGATCATTGTTTGGGGGACAGGGAATTTCACATAGAAAACACTTGTCTATGTGAACTCCTATTGGAAGGGGCACTGGGAAGGGACAAATGAGATTTGGTCTTTACCCTAAAGTTGCATATGTTCTATTGGCTCTAAGCTGAAGGCTTCAGGATGATAGTAATTATAGGGAGGTGAGCACAGGGTTCTCAGAGCCCAGAAGAGGCGCTTCTATTTGAAACCCAGCAGGGAACAGAAGGCAGAGAAAGGGTCACAGATCGCCTCTGTAGAGCATCCCTGTAAGCAGAGCTCTGGTCCCCAGGGTAGCATCATATACTCACCTCCTCCCCAACGGAGACATCGGGCAAGGTCATTTCCTGTTCCAAGAGGCAGGACAGCCACTGGTGGATGCTTTGCAAAATTTGCCTTATCTGCAATCCATGCAAAGAAACAGAGAACCATATACCATTGGATTACAGAATTCTTGGGTTATTTTGCTATCCTTGATCTGATGCATGAACCCTTCCGCAGCAATCTGTTTGACACCTCCCATGATGGAGAACTCACTACTTCGTAAAGCTATTTCTTCCTTCTGCAGTGTGTTAACCACTACAAATTGTGCCACATCTGTCAATGTGCAATTCATGTTGAGCTAAAGCTGTTTCCCTGTAACCTGTACCTGTTGGTCCAAATTTCATCTTAATTCTGTTCTTTGAGATAACAGTATGCCCCTCAAAAACACTGGTTTGTAGTTTTGTTTGTTTCTTGGTTCCAATGATTGAACCGAGGGGTGCTTTACCACTGAGCTACACGCCCAGCCCTTTTTATTTTTATTTTTTTGAGACACAGTCTTGCTGAGTTGAACTTGCAATCCTCCTGCCTCAGCCTAGTTTGCATTTTTTTCAATCCTGATGATAACCAGCACTTGTTCCCATTCATCTCTGACACCAACCCTGCAAGATGTTCTCTTTGAAGATGAAGAAATGAAAATTCACCAAGGAAAAATAATTCTGGAGCCAGAATCCAATCCCAGATCTTTGTGGCTCCAAGTCCATTCTCATTTGTCCCTTCCCAGTGTCCCTTCCTCCACTTTTCAGGGGCTTTGCAGGTGCAGATGTTATTAAAATGGGTGGGTCTAAAACATTAAGGGATAGTGGGGGCATTTGGAAAACTGAAAATTTGGGGCATTTTTAAAAAAAATTTAAAAGTTTAAAAAATAATCTTGTATTAGCTGGGCACGGTGACACATGCCTGTAATCCCAGTGGCGCAGGAGGATCATGAGTTCAAAGCCAGCCTCAGCAAAAGTGAGGTGTTAAGCAGCTCAGTGAGACCCTGTCTCTAAATAAAATACAAAACAGGTCTGGGGATGTGGCTCAGTGGCTGAGTTCAATCCTTAGCACCACCCAACCCTCAGAGAAAAAAAAAACCAAAAAAAAAAAAAAACCCCAAAAAACCCCTTGTGTTAAACAAGCAAAATCTCCAGGTGCTACGGACACCCCATACCTATAATTTATCATTTCCACCACTTTTCAGAATTTGGAACACACAAATTCCTACTCTTTTCTCCCTTGCTGGTTGTGAATGAACACTGAACAGAACCATCAGAGAATGCAGAGCAGAACATGTTTTCCTCTGGCTACGGAGCCCCAGCAGCCTGTTCACAGGCAAGGCTGGTTAAAGAGGGAGATGTAGGCACCCACTGGACTCCAGAGGGGCACACTGACAGACCCTGGGTCACAGTGCCCTTGGATGTAAGTCATGTGACTCGGGATGCAGGAATGGCAGGATTCAGCAGCGGAGGCTCGGAGGCTCAAGCTGGGGCTGCCTGCCTGCCAGTGTTGAGATGGAAGATGGGGCCATTCACTCATGGATCCTGGTCCTGCGACTCAAGCTGATGCCTTCCTGCCTCTGCTCACGCTGTCCCCTTTGAGTCCCCATCTTGGCAGGTCTGCCATCTTCATGGCACTGAGCCTGGAAACCCATGTCATCTGTTGTGGTTTGGATCTGGAATGTTCCCCAAAGACTCAGGTGTTAAAGGTCTGTTCCTCAGCCCAGCAGTGTTCAGAGGTGGGGCTCCTGGGAAGTGACTGGATCATGGGGGCTCTGCACTCATCAGTTGATGAATTCCTGGCTGATGACATGAAGCTTTGGGAGGTGGGGCCTGGTGGGAAGAAGTAGATCACTGGGGGCGTGGCCTGGAAGGGTATTTCCTCTTCCCTCCCCCCCCCTCTTTTTTTTTTCTACCAGGGATTGAACCCAGGGATGCTTAACCACTTAGCCACATTCCCAGCCTTTTAAAAAATATTTTATTTAGAGACAGGGTCTTGCTAAGTTGCTTAGGGCCTCACTAAGTTGCTGGGGCTGGCTTTGAACTTGCGATCCTCCTGCCTCAGCCTCCTGAGTATTTCTTGTCCCAGCCTCTTCGTCTCTCTCTGTCTCTGCTTCCCAGTCGCCAGGAGCTGAGCTGCTTTCTTCTGCCACAGCTTCCGCCATGATGTTCTGCCTCGCCTCAGGCCACAGCAACAGAGCCCACCCACCAAGGCCTGAGACCTCGGAAACTGTGAGCCAAAATAAATCTTTCCTCCTCTAATCTGTTTTTCTCAGATATTTTGTCAGTGATGCGAAACAGACTCTCAGCGATCTCTTCTCTCCGTCCCCACGGTAATGCCTGGGTGCAGGGATGATCCCTTCCCACTGATAACTGCTGCAACAGCCTCCTCCCTGTTCCTTCTGCCTCCAGTTCTACCTCCTAGTGTCTTCTCCATATTTCTGTTGAGGCAGACAACCCTCGGGCTCCGGCCCCATCACCTCAGCTTTCCTTCTATGGCACCAGGCCCCGGCTCTGCCTTCTTCCTAGTCTCGTCTTTCTGCATGCCTGACCGCCCACTCCACTGGTCAACCATCCTGAAACAAATCACAGAGCTCTCTGTGGCTCAGCTTGGAAGCCACCTCCGGGAGGCCCTCCCTGGTTCCCTTGGTCTGGACCTGGTGCCACCCCAGGCTGTTTCCTTAGCCTCAGGGATGACCTCATCACACTCTCTGGCAGTCGTCCACTCATTGGTCCTCTGGATGGACGGCAGCCCCGCCCCCAGGGGAATATGTCTCACTGGCAGCGGCTTCTCCACAAGTTTATGGAGGCCTACTACACGCCACATGCTGGGTGAGGCGCTGTGGCTCTGATGGCGGAAAAGCCCTGGTGCTGGTGTTTACCATACACTCCAGGGTCCTCACGCACAGAAAGCACAATTTCACATTCATATCAGAAAGGAAAGATGCTCGATTCTGTAATGAGGCGACTGAGGCTGGCGGGGTGTCAGGGGAGACTAAGATCTGAGGCAGAAGTCCATGGGCAGAGGCTGGGGAGCATTCCAGGCAACGGCCTGTGTGGGGAGGGGGACTGGCACGTCCAGAGGTCTGAGAGAAGGGCTGGATGGCTGGAGTCCCAAGGGGGAGGGACAGACAAGTTACAGGAGGCTGGAAGGGTGGGTGGAGGCTGGGCCACCCAGGGCCCTGCAGGTCACCTGAAGGGTTTTGTCTTCATCCTGAGGATAGAGGGAAGGTGCTGATGGATTCCACGATGTCCTGAATCCACTGGCATTCAGGAAAAATCCACTCCCTGGCTGAAGGTGGGAATAGACCAGAGAGGGGACCATGGGGGACAGTGGAGACCACTGAAGGATGCCTGAACGCGTGTCCAGGGAAGGAGGGAGCACCTTAAGCAATGAATCCCTTTGCCTCTGATTTTTCTCTTTGGTCTTCTCATCTGTGGAAAATGACCTAACACTTTTTTTCCCCATCTCACATGATCTTTCATTCCTTATTCCGAACAGCTTCTGGCACCTGTGTTCTCTGAAGATAAATCTTCTGCAACTTTCCCCAAGGCCTGTTTTCCTCCCTCATGTCAGAGAGGGGACCTTGCAGGTAGCCCAGTACCACGGCCACCTGCCTTTTTCATATCAACCGTTCTTCCTGGACCCCCAGAGAACTCCTCCCTCCTCCCACAAACAACTCCAGAGCCCGAGGTGACAGCAGAGCGTGGGTGGCTGCTCAGCAGGGCTGTGTCCATGGAAACCACTGCGCTGGTGGGGGAGCAGCAGGAGGCAGGTGTGCCTTGGCACCCTCCCTGGGAGGCCTGTGACAACTCCAGGAGCCTCTGTGCCCCTGCACAGCTCAGCACCTGGTCCTGGCCATCCTTGATTCCTTCATTCCCCCACATCCAGTCTGCCCGCAAATCCTGTTGCTTCTACCTTCCAAAGACTCTGGTCACTTCTCACCGTCTCCTCTTTCCACTGTGGCCAGTTCTGGTCACATCTCACTTGGGTCACTGCAGTACTGTCCTAAGTAGTCTTCCTGCTTGTTCCTCCTTTACTCAAAACTACCTGATGTCCTGGGATTCCCCCAGTATAAAAGCCATGTTCCAGTGTTATGTCCTATGTGTCCTCGTGACCTGGTCCCTCATGACTTCTGCGTCACATTCTGTAATGCTCTCTGTATGTCCTCTGCTCTGGTTTGCCTTCAAGAGCTCAGCCTGCTCCTACCTCAGGGCCTTTACACCTGCTGTTCCTTATACCTGGATTGCTCTTTCCAAAGGCATCTGTGAGGCTCACCCTTCTCCAGGTGTCCCTACAAACAAGTTCTCCTCTACGAGGTCTTCCCTGACCCCTCAGTTTTAGATTGTAATTCCACCTAACCTGTGTGCTTCCTTTGCTCCTTCCTGGCTATATTTTTCTCATCTTCTGATATTCTCTGTATTTCACATATTTCTGTGTTGCCTGGTTCTGGCCTCTGGAAGGTGGGCTCCAGCAGGGCAGGATGCTCACCTGTTTGTTCAGGTGGCATTTCCACATCCTCCAGGAGGGCCTGGCACATAGAGGCATGCAGGAGGCATCTGTGGAAGGACTGATGGGAAACCTGAAGCAGGCCGGGGCTCCTGGCTCTGGGCCTCCCTGACTCTGACGACTGTGCTCCCCAGCACTTCCTCTGGTGGCTTTCCTGTCCTTATGTTCCACATTGCAGTGTTTCTCTGGGTCCTTTGGGCTCAGATCTTGGCTATGCCCCATTGCAGAATTTCACAGCCAGTTTTCATCACTTCTTGGGGGTGCTGTCTCCACTGATCCAGGCGTGGCTGAGCCACAACCCTGGCCTCCAGATTCTCAGCCTGGGTCTCTCCAATGCCCCTTTGGTCACAGCCCAGTGTGACCTTTCTTTGCTTGCATGGAGCCACATCTGGGTCCAGATGTGCTTTCTGGACCCAGGCTCCAGATGTTCATCTCCTGATGATTTCCCCTGGGTATGCAGCTATGCTTAGTGCTCTGGTTTCTACTGTCCAGCAGGCATCTGCCTTGAGTCCCAATCCCCCTCTTCCTTCCCCTCAAAATCTGACCTGTGATACTCCTCAACCCTGGCCATGTCATGTTTTTGAGGAATGGCCTGAAACTGAACTGTTATCTTCATGTCTTTGGAAGAACTCTCATTATTTTAATTTCTTTTTTTTTTAATCCAAAGTAGATATTTAGTTAAGCATCAGTTCAAGGGTAGATATAAGGATGAACAAAGTGTGGTTACATTTCTCTCTTCTTGTTATTGCCTTCTGCTAATTTTATTTATTTACTTATTTTGGGTACCTGGGATTAGACTCCAGGGCACTCAACCACTGAGCCACATCCTCAGCCCTATTTTGTATTTTAATTAGAGACAGGGTCTCACTGAGTTGCCTAGGGCCTCACTGTTGCTGAGATTGGCCTTGAACTCAGGATCCTCCTGCCTCAGTCTCCCCAGCCACTGGGATTACACGTGTGCCACCACGCCCAGCTGCCTTCTGCTAACTTTAAATATACTCACTATAAATAACCAGCAAAGGCCCCTCCAACCCATTCTTACCAATGCAATCCAAGATCCAGCCAACTGTCCCATCTCCTCCACAGGCCAGAACACGGAAGTCTGGAGTATCACGGAAGAAGTTCAAGCTGGGAAATAGAGGAAAGTCCATGTTAGTCTTGGCACTAGGCTTGAATTTTTGAGTTAGAGTCTCTCTGTTCCCCAGGAGTATGTTAAGATCTCGATTCTTTTTTGGAGTTGAAAGGGTCACTTAATGTTCTGAAACTAGAAATCATTATGCATTGCCACTGAGTATGTAGAAAAATCCCAGAGAGCTATCCTTGTATAAGGAGAATCTGACTCAACATTCAACATAAATAGAAAGCAGTTTTCTAGAAATTCTCTGTGATTTGGGCAGAGAAACCTACAGTTTGCACAATACAAATAACCCCCAATATTTTGACTCCTTTTGAATTCTCCTGCTTGTTATGTCCTTGCAACCTCCCCTTTAAGGGAGATGCCCTGAATTGGCTGAATTCATTTTGCAATTTTATGGGTCCAGAGCTAATTGGAGAAATCACCCCATTTTTCCCAGAAGTTTTAACTCTAATTTAGAGCAGGCTTCTCAACCAGGGGTCCATCAATCTCCAAGGAGGGTCTATGGATAGAATTCAGAAGGTCATTAACTTGAAGAAGAATATATTACATTCATGTCTTCCCTAACCTCTCACTGAAATTTAGTATTTCCTTAAATTATGACTGTAGGCAACAAACCACAGACTTATTAACAATACCTATGACTTTGGCAGCAATCAAAATCAAAGATATTTTTACAGTGTGGCATATCTCAACCTATCATGTATGTTCATTGCTGCTTTGAATTTGCAATAGTTATTTGACCTGGCTATGGATGTTCTATATAATGTGTTGATAATGCATATGTAGACCTATATCACCAATTTATTTTTTAGTGTATCGGTACATATTTTTCAACATAATTATCTTCTCCAGTAATCTTGTATTATTTCATTTTGTGTATTAGGAAATAATATTCCAAGGAGGGATCCATAGTCTTTACTAGACTGGCAAAGGGGTATCTGGCATAACATGGTTAAGAAATCCTGTTTTAGAACAGAAGTGACCTGTGAACACCTTGGGTGAGACTCAGAATCTAAGGTCATACTTCTTCTCTGCCCAGCCTGGTGGTCTGAGAAGACCCCTGGGGCTCTCTGAGTCATGGATGCCTGTGAAGGCAAATTAATATTTCTTCTTTTCCATCTCTCTTGCAGAACTCTGCTTTCCTACAAGAAGTGAATTCTGAATGGAGGCTCCCTTCAGCCAGATGGCCTGTCTGATTACAGATGGATACACTCATCAGAGACACTCGGGACCCACCAGAACTGGGAGTAGGCCCTGACCTGTTACCCATGGTAAAACATATCAAAAAGGTTAAGACAGAGGACTGCATTCCAGTATTGAAATACCCAAGAGGAGGGTGGGCTGGTGAAGGCACTTGTGGGCCGCAGCTATCCAAAAAAAATGGGCATTCATGGCAACCAAGGCAGAAACCTCAGCAGTCTAGATGGATTCTGCTTTCAAATTAGTTTTATAGTTAAATTGTGGTAGGAGTACTGAATCTGCTGGCACATTTCTAATTTTAACCTGATTTTGTCCTGCCAGTGCTATAAATAACAGCTTTGTGTCAGACAATCAAAGACAGGGACGGATTCTATGTTTTGGTCTTTTCTCCAGCCAGCCCCTTTGAGGGGTCTCCTGGAATTCAGAGTTAGAACTGCAGGTTAAGATGAGGGAAAACCCAGCTAGTTGTGCACAGCTCGAGGCGGAGACTGGCCAGGAGGTGGCGCTAGAGCACAGATTCTGACTGGGAAGAGCCCAGTCTTTCCGTGCCTTCCGGCGCCACGCTGGGGAGCCCTCCAATTACAGGGTCTGGAAATTCCTCATGATAGCTGCGGCACGGGGCCCAGCTCCTCCTATCAGAACTCCAGTCAAAATATAAAGCACTTCCTTTTCTCCAACCTTCTGCTAAAGAGCAGGGAAACAGCAAGAGGAGTAGCAGGAGAAGGGCCACAGGGAGTGTAACCACCTCAAAAATGGATCATCCAGAAAAACAATGATTTCATTGTATAACCAAGTGTCTTGATCCTCAAATGCCCCCATAGTGGAACAGAGGGTGGACCTCTGAGTAGCCACATAGATTTCCAAAATGCTAGTGATAAGAACACTTTCTCCTACCTGGGGTTGACTAGGAAGACGCCCGCTAGCACAGCTTTACCATCAAGTTAAAATATTTCACCAGTCGCCTTCCTAGCAATCACAGGAATGGTATATGCAATTTCCCCATCTTATAGACCAACTCCTTTATTTTGGGGACAAGGTAGGAAGCCACTTCTCAGAGTTAGCCATAAGGGGTGATTCTGAACACATCCAGAAGAGTGTGATGTGAGAAAGATAAAAGGCATCCATGGTCTTTTCAGGGATGAAACACATTAAAAAGATGACAAAAGAAGGTATCTTCTGCAGAGGTTAGAAGAGAGGGATGAGAAATAAAGATATTGTCTCCATACCCTGGAGTAGGTCCCCCATTGTCCAGGTTGAAAACTTGTTTGGGGTTGAGCAGGTAGTGGAATTTCCGAAGAATTCTATGGGGGAGAAAAAGAGAGAGAGAGAAAAAATTTAGAGGGTAGGGGAGGAAAATGTCATTGCAAAAAGTCACATTAGGGTGACCCCCTTTCTCCTTGTCTTCCTCCACTCTTGGGATTCACCAAGACCAGCAGTGGGTGGGTGCCTGGGGTGGGGATGATCTTACACTTAAAAGGCAAAAGAAAAAGAAATCAGTAGTCAGATTGAGCATCCTTTTAAATGTGAGATGGGAGAAGAGTGCCTGCAGACCTAGTATATCCCAGGTCTATCTGGCATCACCACATCCTCACCCCTTGGTCCAAGGCTGCCCCTACATCTAAGATTCCAACTCCTACCCCAGGAGCCTCACCTCTTCTTTGCAGAGAACAGAGCAGAGAAACCCAGAATTTCTTCCTCAAGAAGACTTTCTCCCAAATGTTCTGTGTGGCTGGGGCAGTGTGATGTCTGGAGGTATCAAAGGACCCCCTAGAGAAAGGCCCCTACAGCCCCCAATCAGGAGCAAATTCAGGAGGAGGTGGGCTTGGACACCTGAAGGGGAGCGACCACATCTGGGCCTGATCTCAGGGCTCTAGTTGGAGACTAATTAGGTCCCTTGGACCAGAACGGGGGTCCTCATAGTTCTTGTTTAGCTCTACTTATTCTTATTTCATAACATGGATTCCAGATCACTGTCATCTGCTCATCACCCTGGAACTGAACAGCCTCCAAGGCAGAAGTGGCTCTCTCTTCCCACTCTGCTTAGCAATCCCCAGTTTCCAGACAAGGGGGCATTTTCTTCACTCCTGAGGTGGGTGCTCTGCATTCTCAGGGATGAGAACAGGTCAGGTGAGTCCTGCCGTCTCTTTAACCAAGAAAAGACATGTGAGACTCGGAGGGAAGAGGCTTCTCAGGATTCAGTCTGAACTCTGCAGTGGCTCATGAGATAGACGCTGCGTTAAGCACTGGGCTATCCTAATTCTTAAAATAACCTAGGAGAGGAGATATTGTTATCTTCCTAAGGCCCGGGGGCCAGGAGATGAAGGCCCAGTGGTGGTGCTGGGATTTGAGCCTGGGTCTCCATTCTGCTGTGGTCAAGGGGAGGAAGGGGCTTGTCTTAGCCATTCCACTTTGAAAGAGAAGAGAACATACCTTTCTCCTTGTCTCCCTCCACTCTTGGGATTCACCAAGACCAGCAGTGGGTGGGTGCCCGGGGTGGGGATGATCTTATACTTAAAAAGCAAGAGAAAAAGAAATTAGGTCTGCTTTTCCAGAGAGCAGGGCGGGGGAGACGAGAGCTTGATGCTTAGACAGCTTCGGAAAGGTGGATAGGAAGCAGGCCCAGGCATGGAGGAGAGGTGATCGGGGAGGCAGGTCTTTGTCCACTGGCTGAGTTTTCTGAGGGGCCAAGAGGCTACGTGTTTCCAGCTCAAGTGGCCTTTCAGTGGTGCTAATGGCAATGAGGGTTTGAGATTGGGATCAGAGATGGGGCAATGGCACTGTAGCTTCAAGTCATTCAACAACGGTGTGGCATTGTGCCCACATCACAAGATTAAATTCTGTGAGGGACACAACTGAATGCAATCCTAGAACGTGTGGCCATCTGGTCACACACATAAATAAAATAACACTCATGGAGTGAAAAAAAATCACTTCCACTCTGGCACCTTCTAGATTCGCATTTCCAGACCCAATTTTCCTCTTGAGCTTGTCCTGCATTTCTGACTCCCCGGAGCCGCCTTCAAGTGGACGTTTCCCATCACTACCAGGTCAACATGCCCCAACCTGACTTATCTTCTTTTCCCATCAAACTGATCTTCTCCTGGTTCTGTGCTCCTGATAAAGGTACTGTTATTCATCCAGTGTTTCAGGGAAGATCCTAATCTGCCAAGTCTTCCCCTGGAATGTCCTTTCATCTCTAGCAGCTGTCACAGAACCCATGCTGCTTGGGTGTTTTCCATCCCAGGGAAGTCCTATATGTTGCCCGCTTCCCAGAACACCATGTCAGGCACACCACTCCTGGGCAAACACCTTTAGTGACACCTTACTGCCCAGGGGATAACATCTGTATCTCTGAACCTGGCATCAAGGCCTTCTGGATCTCACCCCATTCCACTGCTGTGGTCTCATTTCTTCTAACCCCAGCTGCAGTTCCAGCCCAACCCTGCTTGCACCCTTCAGGGAGTGTCTCCTAAATTCTCTCCCATGCATCTGATCACCATTCTCCTCCTGTTCTCTACCCTGAAATGCTCATTTCCTTCTTTGTGACTTCTTAAAAAAAAAAATCCAAACGACTTTTCATCCTTAGGACCCAACTTCAGAGCCATCTCCTCTATGAAATTCCCCTCAATCATGGCAACTGAAGCTTTTACATTTAAAACATGTCATATCTTTTGGAGTTTCTTTTGTTGTTTATTTGTATTTGTCTTTTACTGTCTTAGGTAAATGTCTCAAGGCATTATTAACTGGATTTTCAATGCTTCAGGAGCAGGGCAGGGTGTGTGTATAACCCTCTTCCCAAGGGCCCCTGGCACCAGACACAGCAGCAGGCGATCAATAAGCACTTGTGGATTCAGCTGAATGACATTCTGACACAGAGGCAGCTCTGCTCCATGTTCAACATCTAATGCCTGCTATCTCAGATCTTAAACTAAAAAAGCCAGCAAACACAGCGTGCCATGTGGTTTGAAGAGAACTGTAGCACTGTTTGTGATTTTTAAGAATTCTTTTAACTGCTCAAGGGACTTGTGACACCCAGAATCATCTTGGAGCCTGAGGAATAAGCCCTTAACTTCCGGAAGTGTTAAAAGTATTCAGCAATCCATACAGCAAGGGTCCTGCCCGATCAGAACTGATGCAGGACAAGCAGAAGAATCCATATCTAACAACTGTTATACCTGCATGCTTGTGTGTGTGTGTGTGTGTGTGTGTGTGTGTGTGTGTTCCACTTGACTTGCTGCCCTTCTGGGTGTCTAGAGCTTTCTCATCTATTAAGGTTCCTCCATTGTTTCAGCTTAATTTTTAAAACAAACAAATCTGCACACTCTCATTTAATCTCGCAGCACCTCCAGGAGGTGAGGAATGCAAGGATTTCCATGACCCTTTTCAAACAAGGAGATTTAGGTCGAGGGTGGAAGAGGAGGCCCTAACTTTCCTATTTCCTTTTCTGGTTCTTTGTACCTCTTCAGGATGCCTTGCTTGCATTCCTTTTGTGGAAGGCAGAAAGAAAAGGTGTTCACTGGTGAGCCTGAGTAAAAACGAATTCTTAAACTTACATTGAAGGATTAAGAACTTTTGGATTTGGCGAACTACGTTTTGACAGTTGTGTTCTGGAGACAGATTGGCAATCTTGGAAAAATCTATTGTCTACTTCTAGGCCACACTTTTGTTATGGTTTAGGAGGTCTGCATACTGAAGGCTTATGTAATTTGCTCCTATAGAGGTGATCAAGCCAATTAGACCAGCGATGGGATCAGCCAACCTCCCTTCTCACCACTTGCCTACAGTGTGGCGGTCAAAGGTAACTCCAGAGGCCCGGAATAAAGTGTCCTCCTGCGTGACAGAATTGATCAGATGAGAAAGCAAATGTTGAGTACATTTCCTTAGAACCCAAACCCCGGCCTCCCGGCCACTGTCTTGGACCCATTTGGAATAAGCAACTGGACTGCAATCCATGAGATACCTGCATTACAAGCTCGCCCTTGGCTGCCATACTGCCATCAGACTTTCCACCTTGTCTGTCCTGTGAGGAGAGAGGAAAGACAAGCATCTATTGAAAGAAAAATAAAAACCTAATATAAGGGAAGAGATCTGGTGAAAACAAATGGCTATCAGCTCTGGAGGCTGAGGTAGAGGATGGCAAGTTCAAAGCCAGCCTCAGCAACTTAGTGAGACCCTATGCAACTCAACAAGACCCTGCCTATAAATAAAATACAAATAAATAAATAAATAAAGCACTGGGGCTGTGACTCAGTGGTTGTGCACCCCCGGGTTCAATACCTGGTACATAAAAACAAAATCAAAAACCCAACAACAAATGACTAGTATCAGCAAAGCCAGGTCAGTGTGAGTAGTTTTTCAATGTGGGACTTTGGATTTCAAGAAAGGAACGCAAACCTATGAGTTTCTCTGGGACTCTCCAGGACCCTGTCAATACTTGATCTGACTTTAACCTTGAGACACAGGCAAGGGACACAGGAGGAGACGTTACTAAAATTGGCAGAAATCTAATTTGTTGATGGAGAAGCTTGGACTATAAAAAGCAAGGTCTCACACTAAGCTTCTCTGCTTAGCATTATCTAATGATACAGCATTCGGTTGTGGTTCTTGGTTTTGTATTTTCAGTATTTATTATTTTATTGAGGTTTACTTAGCTTACAGCAAAATGCTCAATTTGAAATTGGACAGTTTGATGAATTTTTGCATATGTATGAGCCCTTAGAAATGCCGCCCCTCCAAGCATAGCCCTGTGTGACTCCAAGATCACATTGGTTTTGATTGGCTTTTGGATTTTATAGAGAGGGAATCAGAGAGAGTGCCTTTGTTTTTTTGAGTCAAGTTCTTTAATTCAGCATTATTTCTTTAAAATACTGTTTTTGCATGGGAGCACAATTTGTTCTTTCCCACTGCAATGTGGTATTCCATTACATGAATACCATATACCTATGGGTCTCAAATTATTTGTCTATCCTCCTGTTAATTGTCATTTAGATTTCTTCCAGTTTTGACTGCTATGAATAAAGTTGCCACAAACATTCTCATACATGTCTTACACACATGGAGTAAATGCTTGTACTTCTCAGAAAGATCCACAGAAGGGGAATTGTTGGGTTATGGAGTTTGTATGTTTGATACTGCCAAATGGTGTTCAAAAGGAAAATTTGTAGATTTTTAGTGAAAAAAAAAAACTGGTTAAGTCAAGGGCAAGAAGTGAGGAATCTGTGGAATGTGGCAACAATTTTAAGATGAGAAGAGGAGTTAAATTGGTGCTTGTTTGAAAGAGGAATCTTGTTGGCCTGGTGGTGTGCACTCCTGTAATCCCAGCAACTCAGTAGGGCTGGGGCAGGAGGATCACAAGTTCTTTCCCACTGCAATGTGGTATTCCATTACATGAATACCATATGCCTATGGGAAATAAAAAATAAAAAGGGCTAGGGATGTAGCTCAGTGATAGAATGCTCCTGGGTTCAATCCCCAGTACCAAAAAAAAAAAGAAAAAGAAAAAGAAAAAGAAAAAGAAAGAAAAGAGAGAGGAGTCTTCAATACAGGAGACCAAAAATGTTTCAGGTGAGTATTAAAGGAGTTTAATTTTGCTTCTTTCTTTCTTTTCTCTGGAGTGTTAACACACTCCAGTGAAAGGCATCAAGGTAGGGGTGATCCATGTTTGGACATAGTAGAGAGGTTCCGTAGGGGTAAAGGAGGAGAGAGACCTCACCCTGCTTTAGCTGTACTCTGCCCACAAGGTGCGTAGGGTGAACGTGCTTCCTCCATGGTCCATCTGGACCCAGCAGTTGGGACCAGTTGCATCTGAGGAGTTTTCTCTCACAATTTGGCTGGCACATCCCTGACCCTTTCAAATGCACACTGAAAACACAAACCCTAAGAGTGGCTGGGGAAGCTCTCTGGGGGGCGGGAAGGTCTGAGTGCTGCCTACATCTGAACCACGAACTCAGAGAAGCAGAGCTCTGGCTGGGCAGGAGGTCTTACCCTGGTGACAGGACATATCGAGGTGGGCAGCAAAATATGGTCTCTGAGCTCCCCACCATCACACAACGTCGATAATTCACATTTGCGGTGAAACTGGAGGACAAAAGGGAGAGAAGAGTGAGAATGAGTGAAGGTGATGGAGGAACCAGCAGCTCGGAGGGTGCAGAGGTTTGCTGGGAGGCAAGCTGTCTAATGCCCCCTGAACCGTGAGCACGGCTGGCTCTGGAAGGATTGCTGAGAGTGTGTATATAGGTGTGTTGAGGGGTGCCAGGTCTGCCATGGGCAGAGAGAGGAGACCAAGAGCCTCAATGGCTACTGGAGCAAAATGGTCACGAGCGGGCCTATGCCCTGCTCTCCCTGTTGATTCTAGAGCCCTCCTTGGATTTCTGCTCCCCAGGCTTAAAGACTCTGGAAGGGAGATCTCAGTGAGCAAACTTGTAAGTAAACCCTGCAACTCAACCTCTGCATTCTGAGTTCTGCAGTCTGGTTTGGAGACACCTCCTCTTGGAGGTTGAAACCTGGTCAGGGGACAAGACATGGCTCTGAGTTGGATGTGGCAGGCAGGTTGGGCAGCTCAGTAGCTGCTAGAGGGGCTCCAGAGGGGCTGTGGACTCTATCTTATGCTGTGGTTGGTGGCGGCAGGCAGAGGCCCCTGGATCAGGCAGTGAGGCTGCTGTAAGGAAAGTGTCTGAGGGGAAGGTGCCCCTTCCTCTGGTGCCTCAAGGGGCAGGCACTCTAGTGGCTAATTCCTCTCCCACTCTGGCAGTGCCCTGGCCTCACATAGGTGAGGGAAGTGCGTGGTCTAGCCTATTGTTCCCAGCTGCCTGGGCATGCAGGCAATGGGCTGGACAGCTTCTTAAGCAGCCCTTACTCCCATGATTCTGGGGGTGTCCCCTCTCTCTGGGCAGCTTGGTAATTGATGGGAGTATCATTAGACTGAGGGCATGAAACAGAGGCTCTGGGGCCTTCCTAGCCTTATTAGCCTAACTCCGGTTGTTCTCTGGCGGGATGTTCACTGCTCCCAGGCTGCAGCTTGAGCAAAAAAATCACATGGAAAAGAAGCAGGGCCACCTGGGCACCAACCCACCGTCATCCGGCACCACACGCAGTGCCGCGCGGTGACACTCTGGTAGCACTTGATACTTTTGTGGCACCGGTCACACTTGACGGAGGAGTTCCCTTCCACCCACGCGTGCTGCATCACCTGTGGGAGGGAAGCGAAGGATACCAGGGAAGGCAGCAGAACCATGACCCTGGACCGGGGCTGCAGGAGGGTGTGGGAGGAGTCCAGGAGAAGGGAAGGCTCTTTCCTATTTAGATGTTCATAGGATGCTGGCTCCCTCTCTGCCTGACCACCATTGTGCTAATCACAGTAGATGAAAAATCACTGCGTCTGAGTTTTGAATTGCTCATTTGCCCTGGCAAGCAGCCAAAGTGAGCAGCATCTCATCTGGAAGTCCATCTGTCTGTCTTGCAGAATTCCTCGCAGAGTGATGTGCTTGCATGGACCCTTTTCTGGAAGGCAGCACGGAGCAGGGAACATGGGAGGGCCTGGGCTGCAGACAAAACTGGTTGGAGTCACTGATTTTGAACTTCACAGCAGGGTGATTGTTGACCAGTTCCTAGACCTTTCTGAGTCTTAGGTCCTTCATCTGTACAAATTGGTATGATACGTCCCACTCCTCAGGTTATTGGGAGGATACAATAAGAAAACACACTCAGAAGGGCCTCCCTACAACAGTCCCCATCTTTTGAAGGTGCCCACTGTTGGATAACTAACTCACTCCCCACTGCTCAGTCTGAGCTGCTCATCCGAACAATTTAGAAATTTTCTAGAAGTCATAGTGCCCACCCCACATTCTGAATGAATTAGTCTCTTATCATTAATATGTTCTAAAGTGTTCTGAGTGGTCATAACGGGCAGCCACGGTTGAAATGAACTCTAGATGAAGCTTAGACAAAAAGTCCAAGGAAACTAGTGAGGGTCCTAGTTTCACACCGGTTCCTGGAGAGCTAGCTGTAATCTGCTTCCTGCCCAGGAAGTGTAACCAGGGGAGGTTAGCAGCTTGGGAAGCAGGAGAGAATGTCTGTAGGTGAATGTGCATGTATAAGTACTGCTAAAGTAATGGCCCCTGACCTCCATCCAAGAGCCAGAATTACCAGCTGGCTCTGCTTGCAATGCCACAGGACTTCTCAGATTTCCATCAAGATACCCTGAGCTGCAGAAGGAAGAGGATGTGAACCTTGGGGGAAGATAGGGGTGCAGCATTGAGTGCCCAAATTCAAGCACAGTATTAAAAATACATGAAAATGTACAAGACTATCCCATGTTTGTATTAAATAAGAATAAATGTTTTAAATTGCTTAGCAATTAAATTGCTTGATGGCTCCCACTCTGGAATGTTTTTGGTAAAGATCACAGTTCCAAAAGTTGTGTCACACTCAGTTTGTAGCTTCTCACCTTCTGCCATATTGATTGTTGATAGAGCTAGGTTGGTTAATGGATGTGTCATCTATATGATCACATTGAATTTGCTCTCAGATCATTGTTATTTCTATTTTGCAGAGAGAAAAAGGCAAGGCTTCAGGGAGGTTAAGTGACTGGCCCTAGGTTCCAAGGCTGGTAAGTAGCCAACCAGGGACCCACAGCCAGGTCTCTGACTCCAAGTCCAGGGTCGTCTCCCCAGTGCCACATTGCCTTCTCCAGCCTCTCTGGGATCTGAAGAGATGGTGAGGGACTCGGGGTGTCCCTGCAGGCTCAGAAAATTGTGAATGTGCCCTGTTGGCCTCTCAGTGACCTCACTCTATTCTGAGTGGCAGGCAGCCAGAGTGCAGGCACAGGGCCTGAGCCCAGGAGGCACGCCAAGTGCCCCGGTGGAAAGCATGGGCATGGAAAGGGGTGTACATGGGGTGGTGTGGAGGGAGTAGACAAGAGGCCATGCGGTGTCCATGAGGCATGCAGAGGATTCCCCGGAGGTGCCCTTCTCTCTCAGGAGTACTTCCGTGGGAGGGGTGGGTACCACTCCCACCTGCTAAACATCTCCCAACTCAGCTTCCTCAATGGAATCTTCCTTTTGCAGCAATGCAGAGTGCCCTGCCCTTAATTTTAAGGACACTCAATTTCCAGACTCAGCAAATGGCACCACTCAATGGCCAAGAAAGAAACCTGGGAGCCCTACCTCTTCCTCTCTTTCATTCTCTCATCACATCACCAAGTCCTAGTTACCTCCAAATTACCTCTCACTCGGTCTCTCCTCCTTAGTCAATGGAACAGTCAATACTCAATGATCTGCATGGCCCCAGGGATGTCAGCACAGACATGGCCTCAGCCATGCAGACCCCACCCAGAGGGGCCCTCAATGCAACACTTGCCTTTTGCTTTAATTATGCCAAGAATTTCCCCCGCTGTGATTTCTTTCTTACACCATGCTCAGAACAATTTACCTGACTTGCAAATTCAATCACTCCTTGATTGAAGCTCTTTGAGGACCCTGTGGCTGCACAGAAAACTCCTTTCCAATTCCTGAGCTGACCTTACAAGACCACTTCCAGGTGGAGTCTCTTTCTGAATAATATCTCCTGTCACTTCCCTTTAAGCACCCTCTGTTCTAGCCCCACCAAACTAAGTACAGATCCCAGAATAAGTCATGTCCTGGGCCTTTACACACTCTTTCTGCCTGGACTGCTTTTACTCTTCAATACCTCTTGAAGTCCTCCTGATAATAGCTTTAGGGCACAACTCAAATGCCACCTCCTTTGTGAAACTTTCCCTGGCTCCTCATCCGTGCCTCAATCGTATGTTCCACAGAGCCTTATTATGATGGCACACCTCACTGCTGTGCACTTGCTGACATGTCTGTCCTTCCCTGTACACTGGGCAGTGCTTGAGCAGTCTGGGGACTTCCTCTTATAATCTGCGTGCCCACTAGCACAGTGCCAGGCAAGTGGTGGGCCCCAGAATGGATTGATGGATGAATAGGATGATTTAAGGGTGATCCTAAAAGCACAGAAGGGATGGGAGAAAGCTCCCAAAGCCCCTCCTGCCCAGGACTCTGTGTGATGGACATGTTGCCCCAGATGCAGCATGCAGTAGAACAAGGCACCAGGTGTCACCAACCTCACCGCTCCTTTTGGCTTTTGAGCACGTTTTGACACACCCAGGAATGTTTTTGGATACACAGCGCTCATGGACAGTGTATTTACAATCTACAAAGAAAAAAAATAATAAGAAAGATATTTGAGTGACTATCTAAGGAAGAGCCATCCCCCAACCTCCCAGCCAAGGCCTGTATCTCCTGCTGGATCTCCTCCTGTATCTCCTCCTGTGAAGGGCTGGGGACATGTGGAGCTGGCCTCATCTAATGGACATTCAACAGCCTCCTACTGTTCCTTGAGCAGAGTCCCCAGTCATCTTCCAGTTCTGCTCCTGTGTCTCCACCTGGGCACACTGCCTTCCTCTGTGAGCAGCGAATGCAGCAGGGAAATGTCCCCAGAAAGGGGAGAGTGAAATATCATCCTGCTTACTATGCCCATGTCATATCATGGCATGTCAGGGAAGTTGGGGAGTGGACAGAAAGACCAGGGGTCTCTGGGAAGGCAGGCCAGGCTTCATCTCTGACTCTGCCATTTGTAAGTCCACGTAATATTGGGTAAATTGTTTTATCTCTCTGAAATTGAGGGTTTTCTGCAAAATGGGCATAAATAGTCTTTTTCTTTGTAGGGATTTTGGCAGCATTAAATGATATAATTTACGTGAGGTACCATGTGCCTGGGTCAGAATAGCTATTCCAAATTACCACTGTTGTTTCTACTATTATGCAAATGGAAGAGGTCCACAGGCCTGGAACTTAAGAGGAATGAGAACTGGTCAATGCAAAGTGCCAAGACGGGGGATTTGAATTGGGCAAAAGGTCACTGGACACCTTCTTTAAGTTTGCTGAGGCCTGATCTTGATGGACAGCAGGCCCAACTCCACTAAGATGACCTTTTGCTGAGGTCACATGTGCAGATTAGAGGATCTGGACCACATGAAGGGACTTCCTTACTCAGTCTTTTTTTTCTTTTTGGTTCCAGGGATTGAACCCAGGGGTGCTTAACCACTAAGAAACTTCCCTAGACCCTTTAAGACAGTTTTTAGTTTGAGACAGGGTTTTGCTAGGTTGCTGAGGGCCTCACTAAGTTGCTGAGGCTGGCGTTGAACTTGCGATCCTCCTGCCTCAGCCTCCTGAACTGCTGGAATTACAGGGGTGCACCGCCTCATCCAGCTCCTCACAGCCTTTGGTAGATTTCAGCTACTATTGATGTCCCTGTCTCGAGGTGGTTGGCAGGGCTGTGTGACCCCTTCAAAGACTTCTTGTGGGAGCCCCTTTCTCCCTGCTCCCCATGTCCCCTTCTTCCCTGTCACCCTTTCTTTCTCCTTCTTATTCACCTGGTTCTCCTGTTCATCTTTCCAGTCTCTCATTCCCCTTTTTCTATCACTTGGGGTTTTTTCTTTACTAAATGGGTTGTCAAGTGAAACAAATGTTTCGCTTTAATTCTGATTGTTTTTACAGAATCTAGAATGCATTGTTTCACTAATTCAAAGCTAAGCAAAACAAAACAGGTTCCTTTGAACATAAACATAAACATTTACCCAACGAAAATCAGTATGAGATGCTTTTGAATTACATATGAACTTATTTTTTCTAGGGGATCAGTGGCCCATTGACTCCAACCCTACTACAGGTCTTGTCCATTTGATGCTAAGATAGCTCATAGAGGCCTTCTTTAACCCTGCTGCTGGAACAAGAAGAGTGGTCCCTTAAGCTCAGAAGCAGAGAGACCTCGATTTTCCCTAGAATGGCCAGACCAACCATGCACAGAGCAGCACAGCGAAGTGGGGAAGAGGTTTAGGGGAAGTTTACTCACAAATGCAGCAGAGGCCTTGCTTCCGCACCCCCATCAGCATGATGTGGCAGAAGTTGCAGTAGGTTGGCTTCTTAAAATGCTTCATGGTCCAGGCATGCCTCCCGTCCCCTTTTGAGCCCTGCAGGGGTACAGGAGGTGAGACCCTGAGCCTTCAGCCCCAGCTAGAGGAAGTGGGTGAGGGTGCCTCCTGCATGTTCTTTTTTTCTAAACAGGACTCTTGTATATGGAAGGTAAGTCATTTGTTTTTAAAATTGTTTTAAATTCAAATAAAAAGTTCTTTTTGTGTTTTGTAAAATTAACAAACATTAAAAACAAGAATACCTAAATGGGAATGTGGGAGAATTAAATAAGCCCTTTTCAAATGGCCAGTGGAAGTGTAAATTGGAACAATTTGATTTATCTACATACCTACCTACCTATCATCTATGTCTGTCTCTATCACCTGCTTATCTGTTAAATGTTTACAACTTTTGACTTGTAATTTTCCCTTCTGGGTCTCTCTCCTAAAGAAAGACAGATGAGCATTTTTGTGCTCTGCTGAGTGTTTAACCCAGCATTACTTAAAATAACGAAAAACTGGAATGTCCTAAAGTCTCCAAATTACTAAAAGATTAATGGTAGTACACTGATATGACTTCATGTTAGAGGGCAACCAAAAAGTCATTTAAAGAATTATCTAATGGCATGAGAATGTGTTCATGATATATTGCTGAGTGAAAAAAAACCAAAAGGTAAATTTCATGATATATATATATATATATTTTTTTTTTTTGTAGCAGGGATTGAACCCAGGGACATTTAGCCACTGAACCCATCCCCAGCCCTTTTAAAAAATATTTTATTTAGAGACAGGGTCTTGCAAAGTTGCTTAGGGTCTCACTAAGTTGCTGAGGCCAGCTTTGAATTTGCGATCCTCCTGCCTCAGCTTCCGGAGCTGCTAGGATTACAGGCATGCGCCACTGCACCCACTTGATGATATATTCTGATTTCAGTCTTTGTGAACTAAGATCTTTGATGGAAAGAAGTTTCACTGATCTGTCAACAGAGGTTAGCTATAGCTGACAGTATTGTGCATTATTTTTTTCTCTAATTTCTCTTCTATATTTTCCAAATTTTCTACTCTATACACTAGTGTTCAAATAGAGAAAAAAAATAGTTTAGTAAAAATAATGTGCTCCTTCTACAAACTTTCTGCACACAGAAAAAATAGTAAAGAGCAAGACACAGAAGGAGAGGGATCATCTCCTCCAGATTTGGCTCAGAGGTAAAATCATCTTTACCCACTACACAGACCACGTTCCACACAATCACACATCTTCTGGGGAACACCAAGTCTCCCACCTTGTGGCCCTGGGAGCTCAGTGTGGCTCCAGGCTGTGGCTTCAGGACACCCCTCCCCACATATACTAGTTCTGAAGACTCCATCACAAGAGTATCTCTGGGACTGGTCTGAAGGGAAAAAGTATGGTAGGTAATAAGGTGATGGGGACCCACAGTCAGGGACATACAGTCCAATGTGCAGGAAGTCCAGACCTTACTTCTGGCCACTTATGCCTTTGTACTGGTCACTGTGGTCAGTCCTACTTCTGGCCCCACACTCCTGCTTATGGTCTCTGCAGCAGCCCACATTCTTTTCCAAATGCTGGTCTTCTCTTCCCCTGGTCCAGGTGAAGCTCATTCCTTCTCACCACCTCAAAACCCGGCTTCTTCCAGACCTGAGTTTTACAGAATTAATGTCCCTTCATCTAAGAGTCTCCACTTCAGGAAAGAGATACAAATGGATAATGATTTACCAGATGACTGATTCATCCATTCAATCGGCAAACATCTATCTCAAGGTTTTATTTTTTATTTTTGCAAGAATTAAATTAAATAATGTGAGTGAAGCTCATAATCCACTGCCAAGTACATTAAAATTTTTATTAAGTTCCTACTCTGCAACAGCTACTGGAGACATGAAAATAAATAGAGTGCATATTTAGGAGTAAGGAGATTAGATTGATTCCTAGTCTACAGAGGAGAAACAGAGACTCTTGGACTATAACTAGCCCATGACCATCTAGAGAATAAGTGAGGGGGTCAGTAGTTGAACTGGGGGGGTCCAGCTGGTTTCGGAGCCCAGGCTCCTTCCAGGCCTCTCTCCTACCTCCACCACCCAGGGTTTCCCTTCATGGACAGAAAAGAAGTTACAGCCCTTTTCAGAAGATCCAGCTTCTTCATGCATCTGAAAGGACTATCATTTCATCTGAAAATACCCTTATTCGCTAAGTCAATCAGCTGGCTCGGCTTTCTCAGCTGCTGCTTTTCTAGATACAAGAAGCCAATGGACAATGACTTGGAGCCAGGAAACATTTCTGCTTAGGTTACAGCACCATCATGTGGTTTTTTCATTTCTGCACATGGGAGGCAGTAGCCTCCATGTTTTATGCCACTGCTACAATTTCACCCAGAGAGAGAGAGAGAGACTGTTTTACATATGTCCTGTTCACAGATGCCCAGACTCCTCAGTGATCATCTGTGGGGTTGGAGGAGGCCAAACAAGCAATAGGACATTGATGCATGTTAAAAATTTACTTAAGGGACTGGGGCTATGGGCTCCGTGGTAGAGCACTTGCCTAGCAAGTGCTAGGCCTGGTTCAATCCTCAGCACCACATAAAAAGAAATAAGCAAAATAAAGGTAAAAGGAAAAAGATGTAGTCATTGCCTTAAAAATGTTTTATTTAAAGTATATATTTAAAAATGAATGCAGGCCAGGCAAGGTGGCTCACACCTGTAATCCCAGTAGCTATGGTGGCTGATATAGGAGGATTGTGAGTTCAAAGTCAGCCTCAGCAATGGTGAGGTGCTAAGCAATTCAGTGAGACCCTGTCTCTAAATAAAACACAAAATAGGGCTGGGGATGTGGTTCAGTGGTTGAGTGTCCCTGAGTTCAATCCCCTGTACCAAAAAAAAAAAAAGAAAGAAAGAGAAAGCATAAAAGCTTTTGATTAACAAAAATCAAATTTGCTTTTTATTTTCACTTGCCATTTTTGCTGATATAATTTATATCAAAATAAGGCTGATTTAGCATTTGGAAGAATGTTGAAGAAATAGTCAGGTTCTCTCTCCTCTAGCCAGAAAATAGTGACTGCTCTCATGCAGAGATGGTGGTATTTTGAACCTCACCAAGTCCAAATAGGGCAAAAAAACAGAAATGGGTTCATTGTGATGAAAATGTTCTATCTCCATTTCCCAAATGAGGAAAACCAAACAATGGCATTGGGACAGCACCCAGGCAGAACTTCCATTTTGATGGAAGTATTGATAGAAGAAAGCTTACTCATTTGAGCACCCAGTTCCTGGCTCATGTGGGTTTTTGTACATATTGTTTCATGAGGGGTCTGATGTTACAGAATGCGGCAGGTGGCCTCTGGTGCAGACCTGGTATGTGCTCTTGGGTGAGTCCTTTACCTCTCTAGACCTTAGTTTCTAAAATGGAAGGGACAAACCAGGAATGACAAGGTCTTTTCTGCCTCTAGGGCTCGAAGAATTAAGAAAGGAGTTGTGTAGATCCTGGTTCCTTGATCACCACTTAGCACTTGGGAAGAACTGGACATGCTGCAAGACAGGGCAGGACTCTTAGCTCCTGAGCTTTGGAAATAAAGGCTCCACTCTAGTCCTGAGTTGCAGGCCTGTGGGATGGAGTTATGGGCCATGATAGTCAGCTTGAGGCTAACCCAACTTCACTTTCTATTTTCTCTCTATGATACTTCAGAAATCTCAAAGGAGTGGTCACACAACCTGTATGACTGTTCTGGTAAATCCTTAATGTCACCATTTACCCTTCTGCAGGGTAATTTTCCTCCCTCAGGTATGGAAGTTAGTGTACTTGGTAAATAAGCAAAAAAATGTAGTAACCCACTGGGTCAGATGCAGGCTATTATAACCATTGATTTCACATTAAGCCATTACACGAATCCCCTCCTATGATCCAACTGGGAGATTTCCCTGACTTTTCTTCCATTTGAATCTTTGATCAAGTTGTTCTGCCTGCATAAGCTTTCTCTTCTACCATCTTCTACCAGCCTAATCATACCCAATCTTGACAGCCAGAACAAACCTCCTCCTAGGTCCTTCCACCTGATCATTACTCTCAAGAATGTGTTTTCAAAATCTCACACATTCTTCTTGGTCAACACTCCCCCCACCCCCAGTTTCTTCCTATTGTTTTTACACTTATGTGTGGGGAATTAGAAAGTGCAGGGTCTCTGGAGTCAGTTACAAATCCTGGTTCTTCCTTTGCTTCTTAGGATCAGAACCTCAGTTTCCCATCTACACAAATTGGGATAAAAATACCTACCTTATCTGGATGTTCTGTTAAATAAGAGACCATTCATGAAAGCCACCCTGTAGCAGATCATCATTCTTTTTCCTCTTTCCCTCCTTCCCTTTTCTCCTCCTTTCTTCTATCCTTCTCTAATTATTACCATTTAAAAATATAATTTGTTGAAAAGATGGGAATCTTCCCTGAGGTTTTGTTTGCTTGGTACAAGAGGTTGAACCCAGGGCACTCAACACAAAGCCACATCTCAAACGCTTTTTTATAGTATATTTAGAGACAGAGTCTCACTGAGTTGCTCAGGGCCTTGCTAAGTTGCTGGGGCTGACCTTGAACTCATGATCCTCCTGTCTCAGCCTCCTAAGCTGCTGGGACTACAGGCATGTACCACAGCACCTGGCATCTTTCTTAAAGTTTCTCTTCTTCTTTTCCTGGTTGAGCATAAGCTTTTTGCAGGCAAATATCGTATCTGTGCCCTCACAGCATGCAGAACAATGTTTTAAATTTATTAACAACTTAGCAAATGTTTCCTGAAGGATGAATATATTTGGGGCATGAAGATAGGTAAAGAACTGAGAATAGAAAGGACTTTTGAGCCAATCCGAGGGTGTGACAAGCCCACTGGGAAGTCTGGCTTAGAAATCATATATATTAATATGGATTCCAATGTTCCAAGATGGCAAGGATCTTTGAACTCCAGCTTATCGACTTACAGAGTCATCCATTCCCAAGAGGACCAGCAGTGGGATAGTGGTCATCCCTCCGTGGACCCACTCCTGTAGAGACACAAAGCCGTCCCGGTCGTAGTCCATCCCTTGCAACATCTCCTTCAATATCTGTGGAATCCAGAGAAGTGACAAACATGTCCATTTTTCATCCTTGATTTTTCTACCTCCCTCTGGCCACTTTCATCCTGCATCACCCATTTTCTGTTTTACCCCTTTCCCCTCTTATTCAAAATGAGTAGAGCAGTGAAGGGACAAGACTAGAAGTGAGGGGACCAGGGTCCTAGGTCTGATTCTGTCTTGACCTGAAGGTATGGCCTTGGGCACATCACCCACCTCTTTGGGTTCAGGTTTGCTCATCTGCAAAATGGAAATAACACTATCATTGCAGCAGTGTAGGAAGGATTAGAGAAAATATGTACAAGGCATCTAATATAATTCCTGGTCCATAAGAAACCCTCACATGGAGTTAATTGTTGTTATTAATATTACCTGGTGATTGAGAAAAATCTCTAAAATTATTTCTGGCTCAAATTCTCTGATCTATGAATTCTTGCTATATAAGACTTTAGCTCTGGTGGAAAGGTTAGAGGAAGTTATTATTTCTTTTATTTCTACACTTTTTCTGCTGCCACCTACATTTTTCTTATCAGAGAAGCAGCAGGTCACAGCATAGGACCCCAAAGAAGCTGTCAGTAAGGGAGCACCTGCACAGCCAACATTGGCACCCATGTCCTGAGTAGGTCCCACTCTTATTTTGAAAGCTCACTCCAAAGTCACCCCCTGCTTACAGAAACTCACAGGCCTTAGCTCCGTGGGATCCCACTCCAGATACTGGGCAATATGCAGCATTTGGTTGACAATGCGATCCATCTCCTAGAAAAAATCAGGGGAGAAAATATGAAAGGGAGATCCCAAAGAGGTGTTATTAAGAGCAAAACTCAAAAGTGAGTCGAGTGGGAAGATGGGCAGGACAGAGTATGAGAAGAAACCAGTGTTTCTTTTCTTTTTCAAAAGTTGTTCCAATATACACTTCCAATCACCATCTAAGAGGGCATGATACATGATTGATTGATTGTAGTGCTGGGGATTGAACCCAGGGCCTCATGCGTGCTAGGCAAGTACCTACCACTGACCTACATCTCCAGCCCAGAAACTGGTATTTCATGAGGAGCTTATTGTTTGTTTCTGCCTTGACCACAGAGCTAATAGATGCTTACAAGAAGCACAGGACATGGTATGCAGAAAGCGCTCTCAGCACTGACTTCTCCTAGGCCACCTTCCTTCCCTTGTCCTTTAACTAGAAAGGCATAGAGAGTCCACCTGCTTTCTCCTACAAATACAAACCAAGAGGTTGTCACACCTTATCATTAGCAACTTGGGATCCATCTCCCCTCTCTCAGGGGTCAGTTTCATTCGATTACTATGAACTGAAATTTAGATTATTCCTTTGCATCATGGTCCAGCCCCGAACCCAGGACTCTATAAATAGGAAGTTATTGAGGGATATGTTTGCCTGGTAAGTAAGCTTTTTGGTACCAAGGCCATACTTCATCTAAAAGATTTGTTGAGTGCTAATGAGTCAGTGTACAGAAAGCCCCACTGGAACATATCAGACTGAGAAATTATTTGGTGTTAAAAGTTAGCATCTTATGCGTGGGCACCATCTAAGATGTTTGTAGTATGATTGTTCTAGGGGGATGTGTGGGTGGACTCAAGCAAGGTTGAAAAGTATTACCTCTATCAGGTTGAACGTCAGATCAAAACAAGCAAGCTAAACCCCAATAGAAATTTAAAAATTACATTTCACTTAAATTAAAAGAGTGATCTATAGGAAAACTACAGGATAGGGCACTAGGTAAAGGCAAGGAAATGGGCATAAAGGTGAGGTCAGGGATTGGCAGAAGTTCCAAAGGAAAATAACTTGTGAATCTACTCGGGTCCAAGATTCAGTGAGAAAATATGATTCAGAAAGTGAGGAATAGATCCAGTTGTGGGCTGTGTAAATAAGAGAGTGGGTGGATTTCGGGAAGAACTGGTTCTCCAATGCCTACCCTGGTCAGGCCACAGTTGGATAAAGGATCATGGAGTGGTGGAGTCTGTTGTGTGTCATATTTTAAGAATGGCACTGACAAACTGGAGCTTGTGCAGGGCAGGCGTTTACAACTGCCTCATGAGAAACGATGCATGAACAGGGACACTCTTAGCTTGGAGGAGATGTTGGGGAGATGTGACAGCACTTCAAAGGCCTGTTGTATGGAACTGATTTCCACTTGTCTTGGTCAGCTACAGAGGGTAGAGGGAAGCTGAAGGATGGAGAAAAGGAAGAACTCCAGGGTCAGACTATACTTTGGCCTCCCTGTTGGGCTGGGGAAGTGTGAAGAGCATCAGGTTTTGTGTTGAATATTGTCCTAGCAGAGAGACAGAGAGATGCCTTGAGTGTAGGAAGGTAGCTCTAACAGTCACCCCAGCAGTGAAAGGCTGTCTTGAGTCCCATCATTGGGATGGTTCAAAAAGAAGATGGAAGTCCACTGGCCAGGGATTCGAGGTGGGAAGTTCAACATGACAATTCTTTTCAGACTTGTTTCAGTCCACAAATGTCACCTGGAAAATATATCCGGGCTGGGCGTGGTGGGGCACACCTATAATCCCAGTGACTCAGAAGGTTGAGGCAGGAGGATCATAAGTTCTAGGCCAGTCTCAGCAATTCAGCGAGGCCCTAATCAATCTAGTGAGAACCTCTCTCAAAATAAAAAGGGCTGGGATGTGGCTTAGTGGTAAAGTGCTCCTAGTTCAATCCCTGGTACTGGGGACAGGGGAGGAGAAAATAATACATTAGGAATTGAACCACTCTTGACCACTGACAGTGCTTCCACTCCGTGCACCGTTGCCATGATTTCATGCCTTAATTATTTTCATCACCTCCTAACTGGTACCCTTGCTTGCAACCCCTACAGTCTATACTCAACACAATAGCTCAAGCAAGCCTGCTAAAATAGAAGTCAATCATGTCATTCTGCTCAAACTCCTCAATGGTTTTTCATTTCTCCAGAATAAAAGATACACCCTCTAATCACCCAGAAAGCCTGATACACTTGGTAAAGTCCCCCCAGCACCATTGCATATCTTCTCTGATCCTATCTTCTATTACTTCCTTACTCTGACTCATCTGTTCACTCACTCTGGTCCAGTCACACAGGCCTCCAGTGAGTCCTCTAACACCCAAGCACCTCTCAGGACTTTTGCACTGGCTGTCCCCTCTGCCTGGAGGCTCCCCACCTAGATGGCCTCATGACTGACTCCCTCACCTCCTCTAGTCTCTGTTCAGAACCTCCTCCCCAGGAAGGCCCCTTGACAACCTTAGCCAAAGGTGCAACTCCCTCCATCAGCTTCCTCTCCTGCCTTTATTTTTTTTCTTAGCACAGATCCTTCCTATGCTGTTTAATGTCAATGCTTGCACCTGACTGAAAGCTGCCCGAGGAGATGAAATTTTGTCCGTTAGAGACATTGATGTATCTCCAGTGCTTAGAATACTGCCTGACATCCGGGATACTCAGTGACCAAATGCTTGCTAATCTGGAGCTGTCTGGTTGTTCCCTCAAATGCCTCAACCCACAACACTGCTATGTGGCTGGAGGAGTCCCACACAGGCACCTGGGTTTCAAGGGAGTGGAGATAATTCTGTTGGTCGGGTGGACTTGTTCTCTTCCATCCTGTCTCTGGTCTGACTCGGCCCCTTGCATTTCAACCTCACAGCCTTCCCATTACTAGGCCCTGATTCGAGGTGTCAGTCATGGCCATAGGGTCTATCTGATGTCGTGAACCTCCTTCCTTTTCTACCTTCTTCCTTTTCTATTCTTTCTCTTACTTTATGGTCCCTGAGCTGTCCCTGACACTTGCTGAAGGGGCGAGGTGAGTCACAACCTTTCTCAGGTGCAGTGGGATGGGATCAAGTGCTCAGAGCAGGCAGAACCAGGCTCTCAGCACTGGGGAATGAGAGGAAAGCAAGGGTAACAGCAAAGCACACCAGTGGTCACCTCCTTTCCTCTCCTTCTTGCCCTGGGCTTGTTGCCTCACTGGCCTGCTCCTCTTGGCTGCAGAAAATTTCAGGGGGAATTTGTGAATGGAGAAGTTAGATTAGATGAAATACTAAAACATCTCTGCAGTCCGAGATTTTACAATCCCAAGCTTCTGCAATGAAAAGATAAATTGGGCTTCACCCTCTGCGAGGCTGGCTCTTTGGAAGTAAAAGGCAGGGGTTCTGCTCAGATTTCTGCCGCCATTATTAAGACACTGTAATTCCCGTAAAGATGGAATGGAGAATTTTCAGATTCTTCCTCCACCTGCTCCCCGATACCCGACCCTTTCTCAGATCCAGCAGGGATATTTGGAGTGAGAGCTTACCGCTTGGTCCAGGAGTCCGTTCTCATCTGAGTCATAGAGACGAAACATGACTGCAAGAAACACAGAGGTCAGGCTTGAAGTGTCCTCCAGGAACTTGGGATGGGCTGAGGTTTTGGTGCTACCAAGTTTTTTGGGTCAGTTCTGGCTGGCCATCACTGGATGAAGCTGTTGTAGTCAGTTCACCCACCCTCCAAAGTGCACAGTCTGGCTCTCTTACATAGGGGAGATGAGGAAGGAGAAACAAGCTACTTGGGTTTGGATCTGCCAGGGCAGTAACTCTGTGGCTGATGAGATACAGGTCAAAAATGTGACCTCTGAAGGGCATGCACACCCTCAGCATCACTGGAACCCACTCAAAGCAGATGCCCAGCTGGTTGTGGGGCAGAGGTATCAGAATTATAGATGGCCTTTGTTTCCACTGTACTTAAAAAAAATGTAGAATTAAGAAGATTTAAATGCTGGTGTGTCCCACCACTTCTGGAGTTTCAAATCAGTTATCACATCTTTGGGCTCAGTCTCCTTATTTGTAAGATGTGAATTATAGTAATTTCTTCCTCCTAGAGTTATTTTGAGGATTAGAATATAATTGATATACCATATTGACAGTGCTTAGAATGTGCTCAATGGCGCTATTTATTTTATTAATGAACATTTATATATTGCATTTAATATGAACCAGGTACTGTTACATGTACTTTATCATTATTACTTAATCCTCAGAAACAATCTTAAAAGGTAAATACTACTCCAGAAGCTATTTCAGGTTGAGGATTCCTTATCTGACATGCTTGGGACAAGAAAAGTTTGGGTTTGGTATTTTTTTTAATTATAATATGTGCATACTAACAATGAAATATTTTGTGAAAAGAACCCAAATTTAAACACAAAATTCATTCATATTTCATGATACATCACCTGAAAGTAATGTTATATAATTTTTTTGTGTACTTGTGTTTTGACTGTGACCTATCATCTGAGGCCAGGTGTGGAATTTTCCTCTTGTAACATAATATTGAGACTCAAAATGTTTTGGATGTTGGAGCGTTTTAGATTTTGGATTTTCAGGTTAGGAATGCTCAACCTGAATGTCTGTTTTGTTTTTGAATGTCAAGGTATTATTTGGGAACATATGTCTTCAGTTATGTTCCAGCTGTAGGGAGGTGATGTATATAAAGAAAATCTGGGGGGCTGGGGTTGTGGCTCAGTGATACAGTGCTTGTCTAGTATGCCTGAGGTACTAGGTTTAATCTCCGGTACCACATTAAAAATAGAAAAAAATCAAATAAAGGTATTGTGTCTACACATATATGTGAGAATCTGGGAAGGAAATTTGAATTAAAGACTAAAAGTTCACTTATAGAACCTGGAAACCTATATTTTATTCACCCAAAGGACAGAGATGTGCTCCCTGTGGCCTCTGAAGTAAGCAGGGCTAAACAGTTTTTCTTCTTCCTCTTATTCTTTAAGCTCCTCATCATGCCTGCTTCCTCTGTGGAACCTCCCCCAGGTGACCCTGTTCTCAGATAACCCCTTCATATGTGCTGGTCACACCGAGTTGCCCTCAAGATGTTTTAGTAGGTCCCTGCATTTTGTCTTTTTTTTCAGTGGTGTGTACCTGATGGAGTCTAGGTTCTTTGAAAGTAGAACCATGGGCTTCTGATTCTTTGTGACTCCTCTGTCCTGGTCAGAATGTCCTGGTCAGGGGCATGCAGTGCATACTGCTTACTCCCTGAGCAGATGGTCAAATAACAGAAGAAGGATGGAGCTTCCCATTAACCTTGTGCTGGACTCTGGGCCCAGGTGACTGTCTAACAAACACCTCTTTAGGGTCCTACTGGGTATGAACCATAGAACTAGAAGGAGCTGAGGGAACAGCCCCACCTTCAGTGATGGGCCATTGGGCAAGTCTTTCAACCTTCCTGTGCTTACATGTAAAACAATAATAATCCTATCAACCTTCTAGGGTTTCTGTGAGATGAAAATGACAAAATGCACTTAAACTAAGTAGCAAATATAAGGTGTTTAGGGATGAGAGTATTACTGTATTGGCAATAGTTGAGATTTCAGATTATTACTTCCCAAAAGGCACATGCTTGGTTTTTTAAAAGAAAGCTTGTTTTCAGTCACTAAAATTAGGGAAAGATTTGAACTGATGTCCTTAAATTAAAAATGAAAATAAAAAAACTCTACAGAATATGTGGCCAAATTACTATAACCCAAATTTGCAAGGAAAAAAATTGGCAAAATGGAAAGGGAAACAAGAAATTAAAAGAGAAGAAAGAGACATAATAATCAATGGCAACATATGGACTTTCTTTAGATTTGGATTCAAAGAAACAATTAAAAATACATACATAATTCAGAAAATGTGAATCCTGGCTGAATACTTGACAATAGCAAGGAATCATTGTCTTTAGATGTGATAATAGTGATGTGGTTCTATTTAAGAAGGAACCAGTGATTTTAGAGGCACATGCTGAAATATTTACAGATGAAATTGTATGATTCCAGAAATTTGCTTGGAAATAAAGGGAAAGGTTGGGAGGTATTAACAAAACAAGAACGACTAGAAGTTGATCCTTGTTGGAGCTCAGTAAGACCTATGTGTGTGTTCACTACTCTTTACCTATATTTATCTTCAAGATTTTTTATAATAGGGCTGGGGTTGTGGCTCAGCAGTAGAACACTCATCTAGCATGTGCAAGGCCCTGAGTTTGATCCTCAGCACCACATAAAAATAAATAAATAAAATAAAGGTATTGTGTCCACTGCAACTAAAAAAATAAATATTTTTAAAAAATATTTTTTATAATAGAAACTTTGAAGTTTCTTTACATTGCCATTTCAAGACTCAGACTGAGAGTCACTAATATGAAGAATTTGCTACCTTTACTTTGTTTATTAATAAACATAATGCCTAAAACTCAAAATCCAGCTCAATGTTGAAAATAATTTGACATTTCACTTTTAACATTAGCCAGCAGAAAACAGAAATCTGCTACATTTGCTACCAAATTAGCACTTAAGACTTGCAATTGTTAACACCTCAAACCTATGGGGGAGATTTTAAGCTGGGCTAATGAGCAAACTGTTTCATTTTGTTTTTGGCAGGGTTAACCTTTGGCAGACTTCCTGTGCTAATGTTTAAGTTTGGTTGGCTAGTCTCATTACTAAATGGAATTTCGACATTTGCCATAAAGTATATGTTTTTTCCTTCCTGTCTACTTAAGGTCCCAAGAGAAGCAAAGACAATAGGTACTTTTTAACAAGGTCCCATCATCCCCCGATCTAAAAAGCATGCCCGCAGGCTCCAGAGGCCAGTGAAACAACTCCTGGGCCGAGAGTCCTCTTCAATCTGCAGGCTCTCTCTGCCCCAGCTCTTACTCTCTTTGTGAATATCTGTTGTTGAAACCATCTTTGTAGCACCATGAAATCAAGTTCAATTCCAATTAATTAATCCCCTTTCTCCAGAGACCAAAGAGCTTGTGGGTAGAGAGTGGGGGAGAAATGGAAATAAACCTTACCATGACAGAGGTCGATTAGAGCCCAAGGGAGAGGGGAAAAATTCCTCATGGTTAAAGAGTCGCTTATTTATGAATTAGGGGAGGAAAGGAGGTCAGATATTGAAGATTTTTCCTTGAAAAATCCATCAGAGGAGGCAGCAGCTTTTGAGTTAGATTTTTTTGAGTTTCAGAAAGCCCTGGCAGCCAAGCAAAGGAGTCTTGACCCCTGGATGAGCCCTTCTCCCCTTTCCAAATTCTGTTCTCACAGCCAACGACTTAGATGCCCTTCCTACCCTATATATAAGTGACACTATGTCTTAGGGTGGGTTTTAGGAAATGTTCCTATCCCTGCTGGCAGTAGGACAGAGGAACCTCCCCCAAAGAGGTAGGACCCATATCCATAGATCAATCTTCAGTGTGTTAAAGAATGATTGACAGGATCCCAGATCCTCCTCTAGGAAATAACCAAAGCCCCCTTGAGAGGGTGAATACTTACACTCTAGTTTATCTTGAGGTCTCCCCGTCTCCAGCAGGGAGAGGTAACACACCACATCCTTCAGGTACACTACGGGGGACTCTGGGCTTGAAGATGGAGCAGCTGGTGCTCCCAGGGGGGTTGCAGCCACTTGGTTTTTAGATGGTGCTTGCTTCTCCACCGTTTTCAAGTCTGCAATGGGAAAAAGGAGAGCATTCAAGACACTTTCTATTTAGTACTAACCCTCTTTGTTTCCCCAGTCTCTTCATGGTAGAGGTTAAGAATTTAATATTGGTGTCTTCAAAAGCTTGAGTTACATAAACATGATCAAATCAGTGGTCCTAGAGATCCAGTTAGTGGAGGTCATACTCTCTGGACTTTATTCTGACCCTTTTAAGAGTTTATTTCCTCGTAAGAAATCCATCTATTCTTGGTAAATCTTCAGAAAAGATGATAGTGACTCTTGATAATATTAATAGTCTATAAGTGAGTGTCATTTAGTTTACTTTTTGGGAACACACTCAACTTGTAGAAATAATTTTGGCATTTCAAGATGGAAAGTCATCAGTAGTCACCAATAGACTCATACTTGTTGAGAGCCACAGCCGAAGGGGCCCCAGCAAACTTCCAGCTGCCAGCAAACTTCCAGCTGCCGGCTGATGATTGGCTCACAGCGGCCCTAGCAACATCTAGCTGATTGGCTCCTCTGCGGTGATGCTCATTGGGCTGTTTCCCTGCCCTTTCAGACCACGGAGCTGCTCATTGGGGGACTTTTTTGGCTCCACCCACGTGACCCAGCCAATCGGCCTCAAGAGCAGGAGGATTGTGGAAGGTGGAGAGAAGCTTGTGTGGGAGAGAGAGGCTTGTGGAAAGCCGGTGGTGGCAGTTGAGGCTCTGAGGGTTTTTCCTGAGAGGCTGTTTTGTTTGGCATGTGTGGTTCTAAAAATAAAGTTAGTTTCTTTTGACAAGTGGCTCCTGATTGTGCCCAGCCAGACTGCGGCATTTGGTGGCTCGCACGGGGAGCGACTGAGGGTAAGTGAAACTGCTCGCCCCTGAGGGCAGGGCGAGAGGATGGGTTGCCATTTTAAGATTCCTCTTTTATTTTGCTTCACTTTTGTTTTAAGTTGCCTGTCCCTGGAGATGAGTGAGACGGAAGAAAAACTGCTCACATCTGAGGAACAGATAGGGAGAAAAGACGGATGGACATTTCAGGAGGATAGAAAGGCTATAGTGATTTTCTGTTGTTCCAATTTTGTTTCATTCTGTTTCACTTTTGTTTGGTATTATCTTGTTGAATTGTATTATAGTTATAGTAGAAATATTCAAGTAAAAGAGAAGGTCTCTCAAGTTAGTCAGACAGAGGAAAAAATTCAAGTAAAAGAGAAGGTCTCTCGAGCTAGTCAGACAGAGGAAAAAATTCAAGTAAAAGAGAAGGCCTCTCGAGCTAGTCAGACAGAGAAAGAAAGTTTAGAGCAGAAAAAGCCATCAGGGGAAAAGTTACAACAGGAGACTGCTACTAACACCTTTCTATCACCAGAGGGTGTAAGTGTCCAAGCAACAGCGCCACCTCCATATGCTGGGAGGCCTCCAACCCCTATAGTTAATAGATGGGATCCTGAGACAGGACCTCAAAGATCAGCATGCTCTGTATTTGAACAGTCAGGAGGGCAGCGAATTCACCATGTTTTAGATTTCAAAACAGTGAAGCAGCTAAAAGAGGCTGTAACAACCTATGGTCCTCAAGCACCCTTCACTGTAAGCATGGTCGAATCCATTAACAACTTGAACATGACGCCAGCAGATTGGGCTAATATGTGTAAAGCTGTGCTAAATGGAGGACAATACCTGTTGTGGAAGGTTGCCAATGAGGAATTTTGCAAGGAGACAGCTAGGCGAAATGCAGCAGCTGGTTATCCTCAGAGAAATCTAGATATGTTGTTAGGAAAAGGACCTTATGAGGGTCAACGGCAACAAATTGCATATGATCCTGGTGTATACACACAAATTGCTGTAGATGCAGTTAGGGCATGGAAGACTTTACAAGGACATGGAGGTTTACAAGGTCAATTATCTAAGGTAATACAAGGAGCTAATGAACCTTACGCTGAATTTGTAGATAGGCTTATTCAAACAGCTACCAGAGTTTTTGGGAATACAGAACAAGCAATGCCATTAATAAAACAACTGGCTTATGAGCAAGCAAATCGTTGGTGCAGAGAGGTCATTAGACCATGGAAACATGAAGATTTAAACACATATATTAAATTATGTAGAGACATTAATGTACAGGGGCAAGTCTTGGCAGCTACAGTACAACAGGTTTTAGATGCCAGGCCAAAAACATGCTATAATTGTGAACAAACAGGACATTTTAAAAGGAATTGCCCCCATAGAAGGAGGGTTTAACAATACTAGGTATCAAAGGGGTAGAATACCGGGTATTTGCCCACGATGCCATAGAGGGAGAACAGCAGCCAATTTGGATTCCAGAGAGATTAACTAAGGTCCTGACCCAGTGATTGTCTGGAGTCGGGGGTCTGTTTGTGTGTTTCCACAGGGAGAACAGCAGCCGATTTGGATTCCAGAGAGATTAACTAAAGCGATTTCTACAGACCAAAAAGAAGATGATTTGGCTCAAATCCATAACAGCTGATATCCAAAACTCCAGTTTGGCTATCCTTACATCTGCGACAGAACCAGGATGCTTTTTTCAATATCTATTTTATTATTACCCTTTCCCATATCATGAAGTTCTATTTTGTTTTTTGAGCTCATACAGACCTAGGTTAATGTTTTGCTGATCAGTTCTATTTTTTGACTATAGAGTTTTTGAACATTGCAATGGAGATTTCACCTGTAAAAAGTTATAAGGCCTTTAATATTATGTTATGTGTTGTATGTATTATATTATGTGTGCATACTTGTGTTTTGTGTTATATGTTTGAATGTACGTATGTCCATATATCATATATGATGAGCGCTCATGATAAAATGGATCCAAATATTTTTTTTTTCACATGATTTATATGGTTTAATTTAAATTGGGTAAACAACTGTTGAGGATTGTTTTAATATGTAAACAAAAAAGAAGGTTAACAGATCTGTTTGTTTACTTTCACCTTTCCTTTTCATTATATTTAATAATTCTCTTAAAGATAATGTAAATTGTTAAGAAAATTGTTTTCTTTTAGTGCCTTCTGTAATGTTACATAATTTTTTCTTTAGCCATTATTGCCAGAATTCCTATCTTCATCCCAGTGCCGGTGAAGACAATGTAAATTGTTAAGAAAATTGTTTTCTTTTAGTGCCTTCTGTAATGTTACATAATTTTTTCTTTAGCCATTATTGCCAGAATTCCTATCTTCATCCCAGTGCTGGTGAAGTCAAAGATAAAACCAATCTACAGCTTCTACAATAGCCATCACTGAACTGCTTGCAGAACTTGCCTGGACACATTGTGAGCTCACCTGTATGCACTGTGAACTATCTGTTGGTGCAGCGACTTGTGGTAGTGTTGGGGTATTTTTGCTGATGATGTCATTGGTGGTACAATTTTTCCAAAAGGAGCCGTCAATTGGCTTGGTGTATCTTCCTCCCTTCTGCTTGTCATGATCGTCCAGCTAAAATTTGGGGGCCAACAGAGGTGAGGCAAAGAACCTCACCCCCCCGCTGGTACAAAGACCTCTCCACAGGTGTGGCTGTATACTGGACCGGTAGTCAGTGACGGGTAAGATCCAATTGCAATGGTACCAACCTAAGGACCATATGTACTATTGGACAACCTAAGGCAGGCACGGTCCCTAAGCCACATGCTTGTTGTTTAAACAGAGAGGGGGAGATGTTGAGAGCCACAGCCGAAGGGGCCCCAGCAAACTTCCAGCTGCCAGCAAACTTCCAGCTGCTGGCTGATGATTGGCTCACAGCGGCCCTAGCAACATCTAGCTGATTGGCTCCTCTGCGGTGATGCTCATTGGGCTGTTTCCCTGCCCTTTCAGACCACGGAGCTGCTCATTGGGGGACTTTTTTGGCTCCACCCACGTGACCCAGCCAATCGGCCTCAAGAGCAGGAGGATTGTGGGAGGTGGAGAGAAGCTTGTGTGGGAGAGATGAGGCTTGTGGAAAGCCGGTGGTGGCAGTTGAGGCTCTGAGGGTTTTTCCTGAGAGGCTGTTTTGTTTGGCGTGTGTGGTTCTAAAAATAAAGTTAGTTTCTTTTGACAAGTGGCTCCTGATTGTGCCCAGCCAGACTGTGGCACATACTTTTATTCTTAAACTCATTTAAAGACAAAGAGATGAATACTCAATAGAGAACGGTAGAACTGACAATTGAATAATTTCCAGAAACTAGGAAGAACTCTAACTAATTGCAAGCCTAGTCAGTTGAATAAAGAAAATGTAGAACGTGACTTATTGTTAGTTTGGATCTGGAATGTCTCCCAAAGGCTCGTGTGTTGAGGACTTGGTCCATAATGCAGCAATGTCAACAGGTGGGGCTTTGGGGCAGTGACTGGGTCATGAAGGCTCTAATCCCATCAGTGGACTAGTCAGTCTATTGGTGGGTTCATAATTGAAAGGAAGGTGGCAGAAACTGGAAGAGGTGGAGCCTCTTTGCAAGGAGTGAGTCCTTGGGAGTCATGCCTTGGGGACTATATTTCATCCACCAACCTCACTTCTCACTTCAAGGAGGTGAGGCCATCTGTTCCAGTTCTTCTCTGAGATGATGTTCCACCTCACCATGGGCCCAAAAGCAACAGGGCCAGGCAACTATGGACTGAAACCTCTGAAACTGTGGATCAAAATAAATCTTTCCTCTTTTGTTTTTCTTCTCAGGTATTTTTGTCACAGCAATGGAAAGCTGACTAATACACTTATTGTAACCCAAGAATACAGTAAGTTTTCCCTCTAAAATTTTTCCTCTTAGAATTCTTTGTTTCCTCCATACTGTGTTCTAGTTCAGAAATAAAAGATCTAATACTAATAAGAAAATCAAGCAGCTATATTTTACTGTGTTAATTCTATTTTTTTTTTTTTACTTTTTTGGGGGAGGGTACTAGGAATTGAACCCAGGGGCACATTACCACTGAACTACATCTCCAGCCCCTTTTTATTTTGAGACAGGGGCTTGATAAGTTGCTGAGGATGGCCTCCAACTTGTGATCTCCTGGCTCAGCCTCCCAGTCGCTGGGATTACAGGC